ATACATTCTTTACTTTTAGGACTATCCACATTAGTTTCGAGTCAAAGAACGTATCGTTCTCCAAAAGATATCCCTCTCCGCGACGGTTCGCGTTGCTCTGGCGAAGAAAGAATTGGAATTTGCTATATCCAATGCCAGATAGTTAGAATTCCTGTTTGTACACAAGCGTTTCCTCCTTGCAGATGTTACGATTACTGAGACGATAAAGAAAACCTTCGTGTTATTGCGGTAAGTTTAAGATATTCAAATAAATTAAAAGCAACATTCTCTTTGAATGGGTTCAAGAACGCCTTCAGATTTTGTTAAAACTAATTTTTGTTTGTTAAATAAAGATAATTAAGTGTGGATAATGCATTCCCTTCGTCGCAAAATGAACCGAATATAACTTCATATATTATTTTAAATATTGTAGAATTTTTCTCTATCAAAGTGTACAGCTTTTAACTTCTAACTAAAGGTTTTTTTTATTTTACTTTCAGTCACGAATTTTCAATCATGATCATTTTTTGATCTAATGGATGTTCAACATTACTATTACTTTAATCATTAAAGAATTAGCTATTTATAGTTTATGATATTTTAAAACGATATCCGAGTGCTACCAGTTACATTTGTAACTGCTCTCTTTATTTTTATAGCGCAGTTACGCAGGAAATTATCGTTTATGTCGTTTATAAGATCGAAAGGATTAAAATTGTTTACTGTATTTATCTATATATAATACATGGCTGTGAATTCTTTGTGTTGAAACTTTCGCTTTGTGCCGGAAGTCTTGTTATTTCAATTCAAAAATTTTCCCCGGAAAGGAATTAGATGGATAACCGGCACGAATTTTTTGCTAACAGTAAAGTATGATGTAGCGAAGCAAGACACTAATGATTTAAAGTAGAGAGCATATATTTTAAGTGAAATAAATTAAAAATATGTTTAAAAATTTCAGCCCGGTATTGTGACGATGTAACAATAAATAACTGTCGTAGGTTGAACACTTTCCATCCTCGCGGCTTTAAAAAGTTTATCTTTTTCACATTGACGATATTTTGATGGCAACTCGAGTAGTAATTTCGTGATATATTGGTTATTTTTTTCGTACCTCCTTTTGGATCTAAAGAATATGAAAAAAAGGCAAGATATGTTTAACTAGCATTGTCTATAAGTTACATATACTATTATTTTACTTCTCTAATCGACAATAATTAATTATTGAATAGGCATTGTGTTTGATGTGTCTAGAATTTCACAGACAAAGCTAAGAACGTTGTCAAAATTGCTAAGAAAACTTAAACTCACAATACATTAAAAAAATATAATAATACCGTATATGTCCAGTTCTTCATTTATTAAAATATCAAAGAATTATTCACTTTCCATTAACATTTTTTTCGTAAATTTAAGATAAAACTGGTTTCCTACAACATTCCCAAATATCCGATTTTTTTCTTCTTACAATAGAAATCTTTTTGCTAACGTTTATAAAATGAGAGTTTATTCAAAGTTTACTCAAAAGTAATTAATAGATTCCATGCAAACTGCGAGAAAATTTTCAAATATCGCCTTCCATTACTTATCTGATGAAGATGAATTTAAAAAGTATCACGGAATTACCAATGTTTACCCTACCAGTGTTCAGTGATTTTATCCACTCGGATATAAAGCATAGATGAAGAAATACAGTGGATTTAGCTTAATTGAATCACTGGTTAATTCGACATAATCAGCTATTCTCCGACGTAGCCAAATTTTTAAAAATCTACTGTATAGTAAAGTTTAATGATAATTAATACAGGCGAGGAATCAGTACAATACGATCTTGCAATCTTACAATCTTTTCCATTACGAAAGATTCTTATGCCCAATAGGATTGATCAGCAGTAATGTTGATTTAAGATATAAATTTTTGTGATAAAATATATTTATCATACAGAAATTTAATTTACACATATTTATATGAGTAGAGAAATTAGATTATAAACACAAAATTCGAACGATTTTTGAGTCATTAATTATGCTTCGTCATCGTAAATATGAACAAAAAATTCGTTCTTCCGAAGTCTATTATTAAATTATTTTTAAAATATAATTATAATCATAATTTTATTATANAGGAACAGCATCCATTATAGGATCACCTGTTGCAGGTACGTTGTTCAACTCTTATCTTCTTCAACTATGTTTAAAAAATATATATATATTTTTAGTGTTGCAAAATATACCTTAAATGTGAGGCAAATTAACATTACAACTAATTCTGACATTTCTAGATGTTGCATGATATGCCGTTAAACAATTTTTTTTAAATATAATTCTCAACCTATCAGTTTTTAATATAATTATTTATATTTAAATTATATAAGGTACAAATACACAATCGTTATTATCCATTTTTTGTAAATTTTAACGTGAAATCTCCAATGAAATAGTTCCGAAATATACACGTATGTAGCAGGCCACCCCCGAGAGGCCTTTTAATATGCGAATAGAGGAGAGAACAGGAGATTAACTTGAAGTAAAACAAAGAAATCGTGAATAGAAAGATTGTTCACTTCTTCCTCCATTATTGCTCGTTCGTGATAAAAAGGAGGGCGTCGTGAACCTGTATTCTTGATTCAATCGCTATTTATTCCTGGACTACCAAGAATGTTATTTCTATATTAATGAGTTATCAAATTTTATAGGTAAACACTTACCTAACAGTTCTTAAATATTTTGTGGCCGAGCTATATTTTAAGGGTAAGTCACACGGTATAAGTGATTCCAAATTCATCAATGCATTCTTGGATGTTTATGTTAGACTATGTTCATAACAAAAATATATAATTGTCAAAAGTCAAATATGATTTCAAGTATTAACATTTCAGATTTTGCTTGTTCACGTCTACGTCATTGTTACATAAATGATTATTAAACTGATGAATAAGAGAATATTTAGTTGTCAATTCTAAAAAATTACATAAAACTTAAAATTTCTGATAAATTCTAGTTTAAATAAATTTTATAAATTAATAGATAAACGAAAATTTTAATATATACAGTATATATATTAAACTCTACGACCTATGGAAACTAACCCCCGTATTCACCAACACCAGTTAGAGTTAGAGTTAGAGTTAACACCTGAAAAGGGCCAGTTTTTCATAGAATGTCCTCCCGGAAGGCGAATGTCCTCCCAAGTGTTGCGTTATCCCAATCCAATCCAATCCAGTGCTTTTTCACGTATTAAACTATATTTGAATACATTAGTTAAGTACATAAAAGATTTTAGATTGAACGAACCTGATTTAAAATGGGATAGAGCAGGGGTGGCCAACCTTTTGCATACAATGCGCCAATTTTCTGACAGACGAGTTCAGATGCGCCATATAAATCGAACACTTTTTATACAGTCTTACGTTCAATGTTAGGGGTTGATAAATAGAGATAAGAATAAATCTGCTTCGCTTAGGGGAGAAAAGGGAATAATTTAATCACGCAGTTGAATTAATTAATTTATGACAGTTTATTNGTAGATTTTTAAAAATTTGGCTACGTCGGAGAATAGCTGATTATGTCGAATTAACCAGTGATTCAATTAAGCTAAATCCACTGTATTTCTTCATCTATGCTTTATATCCGAGTGGATAAAATCACTGAACACTGGTAGGGTAAACATTGGTAATTCCGTGATACTTTTTAAATTCATCTTCATCAGATAAGTAATGGAAGGCGATATTTGAAAATTTTCTCGCAGTTTGCATGGAATCTATTAATTACTTTTGAGTAAACTTTGAATAAACTCTCATTTTATAAACGTTAGCAAAAAGATTTCTATTGTAAGAAGAAAAAAATCGGATATTTGGGAATGTTGTAGGAAACCAGTTTTATCTTAAATTTACGAAAAAAATGTTAATGGAAAGTGAATAATTCTTTGATATTTTAATAAATGAAGAACTGGACATATACGGTATTATTATATTTTTTTAATGTATTGTGAGTTTAAGTTTTCTTAGCAATTTTGACAACGTTCTTAGCTTTGTCTGTGAAATTCTAGACACATCAAACACAATGCCTATTCAATAATTAATTATTGTCGATTAGAGAAGTAAAATAATAGTATATGTAACTTATAGACAATGCTAGTTAAACATATCTTGCCTTTTTTTTCGTATTCTTTAGATCCAAAAGGAGGTACGAAAAAAATAACCAATATATCACGAAATTACTACTCGAGTTGCCATCAAAATATCGTCAATGTGAAAAAGATAAACTTTTTAAAGCCGCGAGGATGGAAAGTGTTCAACCTACGACAGTTATTTATTGTTACATCGTCACAATACCGGGCTGAAATTTTTAAACATATTTTTAATTTATTTCACTTAAAATATATGCTCTCTACTTTAAATCATTAGTGTCTTGCTTCGCTACATCATACTTTACTGTTAGCAAAAAATTCGTGCCGGTTATCCATCTAATTCCTTTCCGGGGAAAATTTTTGAATTGAAATAACAAGACTTCCGGCACAAAGCGAAAGTTTCAACACAAAGAATTCACAGCCATGTATTATATATAGATAAATACAGTAAACAATTTTAATCCTTTCGATCTTATAAACGACATAAACGATAATTTCCTGCGTAACTGCGCTATAAAAATAAAGAGAGCAGTTACAAATGTAACTGGTAGCACTCGGATATCGTTTTAAAATATCATAAACTATAAATAGCTAATTCTTTAATGATTAAAGTAATAGTAATGTTGAACATCCATTAGATCAAAAAATGATCATGATTGAAAATTCGTGACTGAAAGTAAAATAAAAAAAACCTTTAGTTAGAAGTTAAAAGCTGTACACTTTGATAGAGAAAAATTCTACAATATTTAAAATAATATATGAAGTTATATTCGGTTCATTTTGCGACGAAGGGAATGCATTATCCACACTTAATTATCTTTATTTAACAAACAAAAATTAGTTTTAACAAAATCTGAAGGCGTTCTTGAACCCATTCAAAGAGAATGTTGCTTTTAATTTATTTGAATATCTTAAACTTACCGCAATAACACGAAGGTTTTCTTTATCGTCTCAGTAATCGTAACATCTGCAAGGAGGAAACGCTTGTGTACAAACAGGAATTCTAACTATCTGGCATTGGATATAGCAAATTCCAATTCTTTCTTCGCCAGAGCAACGCGAACCGTCGCGGAGAGGGATATCTTTTGGAGAACGATACGTTCTTTGACTCGAAACTAATGTGGATAGTCCTAAAAGTAAAGAATGTATAAATTTTTATCGCAATATACTAACGATAATATTGAAGTAATTGTCCTTACCACCAATAGAAATCAGGAAGAATACTAGCAAAGTCTTCATTGTTAAGATGAGATCTGATTGTCTTTCTGTTTTCAGCAGCTTAAATACTGTACAACGTTCAAAGTATAAAAGTCTTGTATTTCATATCTTTTATCGCTTGATCGTTATTTAAAAATTTATTTAAATAAGGATTTAATTTAGAAATACAGTATTAGAACGTTTCGTAATTTCTTTTTTCTACGAAATATAAAATTTCTTAATATTTCTTGAAGATCGAATATTAAAATTTCTACAGTAATTTCGGTAAATCTCTCATTTCTTAAAAAAGATTAAGAATTTTAACAAATAGTATTGCTTCTAATAAATATTCCTTCCTATATTTTATAGCCTATTAAGTATATAGTGGTTATCTATGGTTATCATTAAGAGAATTGTCTACACTTGCTTAACTATAAATAGTAGAATTGTTACTCTGTTAAATTAATATAAAATAGGAAAATAATTATGAATCCGTTACATGATAGAACTGTAAACATGTATAATTTTTGTGGTTCATAATAAAAAAGTATTAATTTACATGTATCACCGTCTGTCAACTAACGAAGACAACTTTCAAATTATCTTTTGTTTTGTAACGATAAAATGTAACGAGCATATGCAACATAAATGAAGCTTTTAAGATAATTTTTTGTTCACTCGAATGTGAAGATGCAAGCTAATTGTAAATAAATAATAGTTGTAACATTAAGCAACTTCTTTAGCAGATTGAAATTCCTCCCTTTTTAAAGTCTCCTCGGTTATACATAGGGATGATCAATCAAATTTTGATCTCCCGGTTCCCTCTCGACAGTATTGGCCTGTATTTTGCTTTATATCTCAGGACTGCGTGAACCAAATATTTTTGAATTTTACAAGAATACTTCTGTATATGAGGTAATGATGCTGTCACATTTCAGAGATTATAAGTCAAGGTGAATAGGAGATAAAGAGTGGTAAAGATCACATCTGAACTAGATTGAGACATAATGAAAATTTTATTGGCATTTAGTCATTCCCATTCCAAAAATAAAACTTTCGATCTAAAAAATTACGTAACCCGAAATTTCGGTCTGAACCTTATATAGTTCGTATATAGTTAATCGGGCCTCTGGTCCTAAGCTTTTTATATGCGGTTTCGATTTTCATCTACGTAACCCTGTTCTAGCGATTAAGGAAGGACCGACGAGCGAGAGGGAATCTATAGGTCTGCAATTTGAAAATTGCAAACCAAAAAGCTTTCCCATCACTGTAATAAGAGGTTAAGGAGATAGAAAGAACTCCGATAATTTCGTATTATACTACGATATAAAATTTAAATAATAATAAAAGCTTAAAAGAAGTAATTTTGTTGAATTTTGGTATCTTTTAAAAAATAATATTTAAGTTTAAAAAAATACGAAGAATGTGTTTAGAAATTAAAATTTTTTATAAGACGTCACCTTCTGCTGCATTTTTCAATAACTTTATAATAATAATAATTTTTAAATTATTATTATTATAAAGTTATTAATGTTGATCTTAAGAACCTAATAACTTACAGCTATTGCTGATTATAAAAACAAACACGATCTGTGATGTACAACTCAGATCATTTACAAAAGATGTTCTTCAAATTACTATAAATATCAACTTTGACGTGTTTTATTAAAGAGTTTTTTTTAATTAAATAAGATTCAATAATTCAGATCTAACTCTATAACACTTCATGATGTAGCTATACAATCATCTAGATATATATTGATCGGAACATAGTTATTACGTCGTTCTTTCACCATATAATACATTTACTTTCGGGATTCATTTTAGAACCCAGTTTACAATTGAAAGCTTCAGAAAATTCTCTCATATTGGCGATGCTACCGATCAATCTAAGAAAAATATACGATAAAATTAAATAACTCATCTAAAATGGATTTATACGATAATTATTACCTTAATTGATCGGCAGCATGTATGTCTTCGTCAACTCGAACCACACTCTCCAACGGAATGTAACTACACCATGACTATAATTAAATAAAATATATTAAATATTCGTCTTTAAATTTTTATTTATTACATTTAAGAGAATTAATTACCTCAGCAAAAGATATAAAGAACAATTGCTCGGGGCTGTACTTTTCTAGACACGGGAGACGTTTCTCTCTACCGTGATCTTCCACCCATTTTTTATAACTCTAGTTTAAGTTTAAAAATAAATAACTTTTCATTTTAAATTCATTCGCAGAATTTATAAACTTGTGAATTTTTTATAAATAAAATTACAATTAATGAAAAAATAAGGATAACTCTATTTATCTATACTTTATTACAAATAATAACAGTCGTAACATCGATAACACTACTGTTTTACTATCTAAAGAAACTTTTATTTTCGTGTACGTATTGAACATTGCTTCCATCTTATTCTGAGAAAGATTATAAGTTTAGTAGAAATAACTCGTATACTGTATAATGAATTTATAAAAATAAATTATAATATACAAATCGTATTACCAAATAAGCTAGACGAAGGCCACCATTATCGGCGATATTTTCCGATAAAGTTTTCTTACCGTACGCCTAAAATATTACAAAACAACACTTTATATGCTTTAAATCATAATTTTGTTTCATATAATTACTTAAAATTTTAATTCTTTAAATACAACACAATAGTACTTTACAACATGTGGCTTTTACGAAGATAACGCGATTTTTTTATTTAAAAAGCCCAATACTCTTAGTAAAATACATTTTATTTATTACGCAAAATAAAATGCTCACGATTTGCTTGCGGTTAAGTACGCAAGAAAATATGATTAGACCACTTACAGTATTTTCGATGCCAATTTTGTGTACATAGGAATTGTACTGATCGATAAAACACTTCGATCTTTCCTTAAATTCTTTTTTAGATTTATCCGTCCACCAGTTTTTAAGATTTCCATATTTATCTTTTAAACTTCCTGAGTTGAAAATATTTAACATTTCATTTGTGATTTGAATAATACATTTGTAATTCCGTCCGATTACCTGACATATCAAATCCGTGAAGCATTTCGTGACTGTAAACAAATCCCATTGCTCCGAAATTCATAAATCTAAAATATATAAATTTTATAAATATATCTAGAGATAATTTGATTAAAAGCATTTTTATAATTTATTATTTACTTGGGTCGTTGGGCATGGTAATAGGGTAATTGCTGTATACCGGCAGGAATAACTAAAAACATTGTGTAAGTCAACGATAATATAACATATTATATTTATGATTAAATATAAAATAAATTACAGTATGTCATAAATTATGTCAGCTGATATCCTACTTATTTCATAATGCTTGTCTAAAAAGTAACTAACAAACACATCCTAGTTTATTAATAGGATAATTCAGACACCTTTAGATGATAAAGACTAAATTTTAAACTGTCAATAATTTCAATGTTAAAAAATATTCTAGAATATCAGCTAGTAAACGATTAATTCTAGTTGAAAATTGAACACGTCATACTACTTTTCATTTTTTAAATATATTATATGCAATCGTATAGGGGAGACCGGGGCAAGATCGGCATGTTAAGCTTTACTTAAATTTAGTGTAATAAATACTGCTGTAAACTGAAAAAAAAGCTTTGCATATTGTCTATTGGAATGTTACCTTACTNGCAATTTTACTCAGATGTAACTGAAGCGCCACTTGTAATCGTCCAATGCGCCATGTTTGGCGCATGCGCCACGTTTTGGCCACCCCTAGGATAGAGCAACACGAGTTAAGGATAGAGTGCGATGCTTTTTTCAAGAAGATGCAAAACTTGGTTCGTCTTAAAAAAGTATCTTTTAATCCAGCCGTAATCCTTATCATAGAGAAAAATAAAGGAACAATTCAGCAATAAGTTGCGTAACTTTCTCGTCCGTTACGTGATTGTATTAAAATAAAACGACTTGTACATTATTAATTGTAATAAATGAAATTGCGTGTGGTGCAATCTGTTGTAACACTTTATGTTTAAAAAACTTTTATATAATTAATTATTATAAAATGACAAAAAATTTAATTTTCAGGATGAAAATCAGTTTTATAAAAGAAAAAGCAATTGTAAATATTAATAACGAGTAAATTCTTAATTAAGTCAAACCCAACTTGAGATATGATACACGTACCAATTTTCCTTATACAAAAGCTACCGTGTCAAATTTCGTTTCTGAATTATTTTCCCATCCTGACATATTAAATGAAATACACGCCCATATTCCAATACTTTTCCGTCTTATATACAGTACATGGAGCTGGAAAAGTAAAATTAGAACCACTATATCTTCAGAATACTCTATTTCCGAAAATTTACTGATTTTTGAAAGTATTCGAAATGTTGCCTTCTTTCTCATACTGATTTTTAGTCTCGTATTAATTAATATGGATCTAAAAATCAGTTCGCACTAAGCAATATTTTACCAATAAGCAATAAGGGTTGCTGCATTTAGAATTTCGTTTGAATATTTGAATGAACACGGATATTGAATGTGTAAAGTCTTTGGAAAAATGATCATCACGCAGTACAATACTAAAATATTTACGTATCGTATAAGTGCCCACTATTTGCCGGGTGGTTAAAATTGCTGAATACTGGCCATGGATTTGCTCTGATTAACAGGCTGGCCACGCGAAGTTTTCTGGCATTCACGTGTTTGATGTCTAAATAAGGACCAATTTTCCATAAAAGTCCTACCCAGAGGCACTTTTTCCTTGTCGTGTATTTAGTTTAACAAGTATCGTTGCATTGTTTATACTTATTGCGTTTATGTGTTGCGCTGCCTTTACCGTTAATCAATCCGACCCTGAAAATAGAAAGCGCAGTAAAAATTTATTGTCTGTCGATACACAACTTGCATAATTTACTTGTAAGTATCTATTGTTTTTGTTGATAAGCAAAATCATTTTCGTTAAGGAAATGATGGAAGAATAACATTTTATCTTTCTATCTGCTCGATATACAATGCAATACGTTGTGGCGTACAACAATAGTCTTTTGAATCCTTTTGGCCACATTCTTATTACGGTATAGAAGATGGCTGCCGACCATGAACGTATGAAAATAAGCAATAAATCTCTATCAAGATGAGTTATTTGCAATAAGTTGTTTGCAAATATATTTATTTGCAAACAACTTATTGCTCTATTACTTTAAATAAAAGGATATTTGTGTTTTAGATAAAATATAACATTTAGTAATTTATTGTTCTTAAATAAATAAATTATGTTAGTTTTAAGTTTATAATATGTGTTTCATTTCTTTACTTTTTGTACGTTGTTATTGTAATTAGTAAATAAGGTGTAATTTATACACAAACACATTGTAAAGAAATACTCGTTATTTATTATACCAAATTTAAGAAGAATTTATAAGTATAGTTAATTGTATGATAGCTGAAAAAATAAACTAGCCAGATGGCCAGGGCAGTTTAGACGTCAGTCTCTCTGAGAGACCTGGAATTCCTTGGAAATAGGCTTGGAAAAATGCCCTTTTAGTGCCCAAAGGGCTTAAAGAATAAAAAAAAACAACACAAAATTAAAGAAATTAAAACTGCAAGTCATTAAGACTGCGTGTGCTCCAGAGCAGAAATTAATATTTTGCTGCTTAATATTATTTATATAAGTTTAACTTGACCGATAATGATGTAAAATTCCATTTCAGTTTCTGATTTGGCTACAAAATGCGGTTTCGGCCGAACCTTACCTATCCGTGAAAAATGTAACGATGCCAGATCCGATACCCGAGGAAAAGTATCGATACCGGTAGCGGTAGCGGTTCAAAACTTATATACTCTATATATATATTTTGTAAATAAACTGTATATATTGTCTATCTTGAGTATGGAAGTGTGCTTTCACCGAACCTGGATCACAACTATATCGAGTCGTGATAAATACGGCAAACCAACTCAACGAGACGGAGTTTGGGGAAGAAACTTCACTGTGGGTAACTTAAATAATTTAGAAAATATTGTGAAATAATGCATGAAATTGTAGAGTATTTGAACAAGTGTTTTGTTTGGTTACAGAAATGGGAAACATTTTCAGATAAATCTGGATTAACAAATGAGATAGAGTTTGCCTTAAAGTTCAGTAGACAAGCATTGCTGAAGCTGTCAGAATACTGGCTGTCAAAGAAAGGCAATAGTTATTTCCTATGTGGGAAAGTTCAAACTGATTATCTGGAAGATCGATTTGGGAAATATCGTCAATTAGCTGGGTCATATATCAGCCAGGGAAATTTTTGAGTCTGAAGGCAAACTAAGAATTCAAAATTTGCTTCCACTTTTCATTAAGTCACACATTTTTGGTGAAATTCCAATATATGTAAATTGTTGTGTTGTATGAGAAATTTTTACAGATGAAAGTGGCAAGCATATTAACTTACAGACATTGCTCCAGACTTTGGAATTGAATTGCATAGTTGTTGATGATGCTATTGATGAGATATCTGTAGATGATGAGTGATACCTTTCCTTATCTACATAGGAGGTTATGCTTCTTCCGCAGTAACAAAAATGCTGAAATGTGACTATTGCAAAGTGTTCCTTAAGTGAAGCAGATGATAAAGAATTTATGCTTCCTTTTTTTGAAAGGTTAATAACAGCATCTGATAGGGGTGATTTGTGCTATCCAAGTAAAAATGTCATCTATTGCATTGCCCATGTGTATGTCATCATACAAAAACTTCTCAATAAAGACCTTGAGCATGTATTTTTTTCTACAGCCAAATTAGAGAAATAAAGTCATTGCCCTTGCTAAAAATAACAAGCCTTATTAAAATTTTTGGACACCACTGTCATTCACATCTAGCTGCTGACCTCTAAACATATTGTACATATTACTGCAAATATCTTGTTAAATAATTATAGTGAGATAAATAATGATTTTTCAGCCAAAAGCAATATGCCACAATTAAGAGATCACTTAATAGATTAAGTGTCCTTTGGTCTCTTAACAATAAAAAATATTTTTTTTTATGTTAAAGTCATCAATTTATTTTGAAGCTACATTGAAGTTATAATATAAATTGTATATATTATAAATATAATTGAATTTTAAAACTATGATTCTTTCAATTGAGGAACAAAGCATTTTTATTTGTTCTGAATTAAAAGGTTTTTTCTTTCACAAATAATTAGTATTTTTTAATGACAAATTTCATGAAAAACATTTATAGACATTTTGTTTTAGTTGTGTTAATTTTAACAGCTGCTATGTAAAAGTAAAGTTACAATTTATTACCTGCAATTACAGTTGTATAATAAAGGTTTTTAAGAATCTGTGTTGGATGATTTCCATAGACTGATATTTGACAAAGAACAGACCTCAGTCCTTGTTTTGAAATGATTGATCATTCTAACATCAACGCCTTTTAGTTTGAAGAAGAATTCGCGAATTATATATAAAAACATTTTTTAAATCAATTATATATATATCGTTTACTTTTCTAGACGCGAATTCCATTCAAGTAGTAGTAGTACACGATTCATCAGTAAAGACATCATGAAGTCTGCCGTAAAGTCTTGTTTTCTAGGTGGTGTTGATCCGAGTCAAGCGAACCTGGATGAAAGCTGTTTGCAAGGAAGAGCTGTAATTGGTCTGACGTTCCCGTTCAAAAAGTCTTTAAATTGGAAAGCGAGCAAGATAGAGGGAAAGAGAAAGGGCTCGGGACTGGTAGCACTAAGGTCTCAGACACTTAGCAAACCGCTGAGGTTAGAGGGAAAGAGAGAGAGCATACTCCTCTGCAGAATATCTCAGGGACAGGTAAGTGCTGAGACGGGACGAACAGTGCAGATAGAGCCAATCCACTGACTGACCGATATCTCTCAAGGATATAATCGTTTCCCAAAGGTCAAACTGGAACGTGAGACATCACTCTTTGTATACCTAACTTGTATAATTTGTATAAATTTGTAAATAAAATGTATATACTGACTGTTTTGAGTGTGGAGGTGTGCTTCCAACGGACCTACATCTAGAACTATCCAAGCCGTGTTCAACACGATAAACCAACTTCGGGAGACGGAGTTCTCTCGTCTTGTAAAGTTGTAATTATTTTAATTATTTTTATTTCCAAACTGATTTTAACCAGTTCTATAGTAAGAAAACATTCCAATAGACAATATGCAAAGCTTTTTTTTCCAGTTTACAGCAGTATTTATTACACAAAATTTAAGTAAAGCTTAACATGCCGATCTTGCCCCGGTCTCCCCTAATTAATACAACAATTTCGACTAAAACAAGTTAAAGAATTAACAAGTATATAGATAAATATAATAAGCAACTTTAATCCTTTCGATCTTATAAAGTAAGCGATAATTTCCTGCGTAACTGCGCTATAAAAATAAAGAGAGCAGTTACAAATGTAACTGGTAGCACTCGGATATCGTTTTAAAATATCATAAACTATAAATAGCTTAGGCTAATTCTTTAACGATCAAAGTAATAGTAATGAAGAGCATCCATTAGATCAAAAAATGATCATGATTGAAAATTCGTGGCTGAAAGTAAAATAAAAAAACCTTTAGTTAGAAGTTAAAAGCTGTACACTTCGATAGAGAAAAATTCTACAATATTTAAAATAATATATGAAATTATATTCGGTTCATTTTGCGNCAATTGCTCGGGGCTGTACTTTTCTAGACACGGGAGACGTTTCTCTCTACCGTGATCTTCCACCCATTTTTTATAACTCTAGTTTAAGTTTAAAAATTAGTAATGTTGAACATCCATTAGATCAAAAAATGATCATGATTGAAAATTCGTGGCTGAAAGTAAAATAAAAAAACCTTTAGTTAGAAGTTAAAAGCTGTACACTTCGATAGAGAAAAATTCTACAATATTTAAAATAATATATGAAATTATATTCGGTTCATTTTGCGACGACGGGAATGCATTATCCACAATTAATTATCTTTATTTAACAAACAAAAATTAGTTTTAACAAAATCTGAAGACGTTCTTGAACCCATTCAAACAGAATATTGTTTTTAATTTATTTGAAAATCTTAAACTAAAACAATAAATTATTACCGCAATAACACGAAGGTTTTCTTTATCGTCTCAGTAATCGTGACATCTGCAAGGAGGAAACGCTTTTGTACAAGCAAGAGTTCTAATTATCTGGCATTCGATATAGCAAATTCCAATTCTCTCTTCGCTAGAACAAAGCGCACCGTCGCGGAGAGAGATATCCATTGGAGAACGATACGTTCTTTGACTCGAAACTAATGTGGATAGTCCTAAAAGTAAAGAATGTATAAATTTTTATCCTAATATACTAAAGAAAATATTGAAGTAATTGTCCTTACCACCAATAGAAATCAGAAAGAATACTAGCAAAGCCTTCATTGTTAAGATGAGATCTGATTGTCTTTCTGTTTTCAGCAGCTTAAATACTGAACAACGTTCAAAGAATAAAAGTATTGTATTTCATATCTGGTATCGCTTGATCGTTATTTAAAAATTTATTTAAATAAGGATTTAATTTAGAAATACAGTATTAGAACGTTTCGTAATTTCTTTTTTCTACGAAATATAAAATTTCTTAATATTTCTTGAAGATCGAATATTAAAATTTCTACAGTAATTTCGGTAAATCTCTCATTTCTTAAAAAAGATTAAGAATTTTAACAAATAGTATTGCTTCTAATAAATATTCCTTCCTATATTTTATAGCCTATTAAGTATATAGTGGTTATCTATGGTTATCATTAAGAGAATTGTCTACACTTGCTTAACTATAAATAGTAGAATTGTTACTCTGTTAAATTAATATAAAATAGGAAAATAATTATGAATCCGTTACATGATAGAACTGTAAACATGTATAATTTTTGTGGTTCATAATAAAAAAGTATTAATTTACATGTATCACCGTCTGTCAACTAACGAAGACAACTTTCAAATTATCTTTTGTTTTGTAACGATAAAATGTAACGAGCATATGCAACATAAATGAAGCTTTTAAGATAATTTTTTGTTCACTCGAATGTGAAGATGCAAGCTAATTGTAAATAAATAATAGTTGTAACATTAAGCAACTTCTTTAGCAGATTGAAATTCCTCCCTTTTTAAAGTCTCCTCGGTTATACATAGGGATGATCAATCAAATTTTGATCTCCCGGTTCCCTCTCGACAGTATTGGCCTGTATTTTGCTTTATATCTCAGGACTGCGTGAACCAAATATTTTTGAATTTTACAAGAATACTTCTGTATATGAGGTAATGATGCTGTCACATTTCAGAGATTATAAGTCAAGGTGAATAGGAGATAAAGAGTGGTAAAGATCACATCTGAACTAGATTGAGACATAATGAAAATTTTATTGGCATTTAGTCATTCCCATTCCAAAAATAAAACTTTCGATCTAAAAAATTACGTAACCCGAAATTTCGGTCTGAACCTTATATAGTTCGTATATAGTTAATCGGGCCTCTGGTCCTAAGCTTTTTATATGCGGTTTCGATTTTCATCTACGTAACCCTGTTCTAGCGATTAAGGAAGGACCGACGAGCGAGAGGGAATCTATAGGTCTGCAATTTGAAAATTGCAAACCAAAAAGCTTTCCCATCACTGTAATAAGAGGTTAAGGAGATAGAAAGAACTCCGATAATTTCGTATTATACTACGATATAAAATTTAAATAATAATAAAAGCTTAAAAGAAGTAATTTTGTTGAATTTTGGTATCTTTTAAAAAATAATATTTAAGTTTAAAAAAATACGAAGAATGTGTTTAGAAATTAAAATTTTTTATAAGACGTCACCTTCTGCTGCATTTTTCAATAACTTTATAATAATAATAATTTTTAAATTATTATTATTATAAAGTTATTAATGTTGATCTTAAGAACCTAATAACTTACAGCTATTGCTGATTATAAAAACAAACACGATCTGTGATGTACAACTCAGATCATTTACAAAAGATGTTCTTCAAATTACTATAAATATCAACTTTGACGTGTTTTATTAAAGAGTTTTTTTTAATTAAATAAGATTCAATAATTCAGATCTAACTCTATAACACTTCATGATGTAGCTATACAATCATCTAGATATATATTGATCGGAACATAGTTATTACGTCGTTCTTTCACCATATAATACATTTACTTTCGGGATTCATTTTAGAACCCAGTTTACAATTGAAAGCTTCAGAAAATTCTCTCATATTGGCGATGCTACCGATCAATCTAAGAAAAATATACGATAAAATTAAATAACTCATCTAAAATGGATTTATACGATAATTATTACCTTAATTGATCGGCAGCATGTATGTCTTCGTCAACTCGAACCACACTCTCCAACGGAATGTAACTACACCATGACTATAATTAAATAAAATATATTAAATATTCGTCTTTAAATTTTTATTTATTACATTTAAGAGAATTAATTACCTCAGCAAAAGATATAAAGAACAATTGCTCGGGGCTGTACTTTTCTAGACACGGGAGACGTTTCTCTCTACCGTGATCTTCCACCCATTTTTTATAACTCTAGTTTAAGTTTAAAAATAAATAACTTTTCATTTTAAATTCATTCGCAGAATTTATAAACTTGTGAATTTTTTATAAATAAAATTACAATTAATGAAAAAATAAGGATAACTCTATTTATCTATACTTTATTACAAATAATAACAGTCGTAACATCGATAACACTACTGTTTTACTATCTAAAGAAACTTTTATTTTCGTGTACGTATTGAACATTGCTTCCATCTTATTCTGAGAAAGATTATAAGTTTAGTAGAAATAACTCGTATACTGTATAATGAATTTATAAAAATAAATTATAATATACAAATCGTATTACCAAATAAGCTAGACGAAGGCCACCATTATCGGCGATATTTTCCGATAAAGTTTTCTTACCGTACGCCTAAAATATTACAAAACAACACTTTATATGCTTTAAATCATAATTTTGTTTCATATAATTACTTAAAATTTTAATTCTTTAAATACAACACAATAGTACTTTACAACATGTGGCTTTTACGAAGATAACGCGATTTTTTTATTTAAAAAGCCCAATACTCTTAGTAAAATACATTTTATTTATTACGCAAAATAAAATGCTCACGATTTGCTTGCGGTTAAGTACGCAAGAAAATATGATTAGACCACTTACAGTATTTTCGATGCCAATTTTGTGTACATAGGAATTGTACTGATCGATAAAACACTTCGATCTTTCCTTAAATTCTTTTTTGGATTTTTCTGTCCACCAGTTTTTAAGATTTCCATATTTATCTTTTAAACTTCCTGAGTTGAAAATATTTAACATTTCATTTGTGATTTGAATAATACATTTGTAATTCCGTCCGATTACCTGACATATCAAATCCGTGAAGCATTTCGTGACTGTAAACAAATCCCATTGCTCCGAAATTCATAAATCTAAAATATATAAATTTTATAAATATATCTAGAGATAATTTGATTAAAAGCATTTTTATAATTTATTATTTACTTGGGTCGTTGGNTATGATTAAATATAATTGTATCCCTAATAACAACGGTACGTCATCAGTCATACAAAGCTTACACTTTCGTCAATTCGATTATAGCATGAAAATTTAATTAAATGTTGATAATGTGTTAATGTATTCATTGGTTATATTTTACACAAAATAACTTCAGTTGTTACCGAAAGACTACTGAATAGAAATTTTGGGCCTAATTTAGATAAACTAAAGAAATCTTCGGAGTAATAATTGAAGAAGATTAAGACTAAGGTTATTAAGATTACAAAAATGCAAATTGAATTTAATATCGAATCGCATAGCTGCAGTATTTGTACTTCATCAATTTACCATAACTATCAATGTAGATGAATAAACAGACTTTATTATAAAAACTAAATAATATACTTTTCATCGAATGACAATGAAAACTTATCAATAGTTGCAGAATACAGAAATGGACCCTCCAAAGTTTATAATTATTTCTGTTTTACTATTCTCATTTTGATATTCTTTGAATAAATTTAGTATATTTGAGTCTTTGTAAATATTCATTTTTTACCTTTCCTTGTATTACTTTCAAGCTTGTGTCGTTAGTATATATTGATATAGTAGTAATATTGTAAAAGAAAAATAGTTAACCTGTCATGAAATTATAGAAAAAAAAATATATGATTTAGCATTAACGAACTTAATTTGTCACTCTCTCTTCTTGGTAAATTATTTATCTATTCATCTGATAAATTAAGCAGAATATCACTTTGTAGAACAAGATATTCTTTTTATCAATATATTCCTTAGCTTATGTAAAATGCTTCTGCATTTCACGTTGCTAGTGCTTAAATGAGGTTCACCTTTTCTTGCCTCTGTTTAACATTAGTGAATAATATTTAAACAAACTGTTTTGCAAAAAATCCCATATTGTATGGATAATATCGGAGTGAAATAAATATTTGAAGAATTTAATTGCTAAACCGCTGAACAAAAATAAGATTAACAAGATAATTGGGACACGTATCTAACATCATTAGATAAAAAGCGGTAAATTTTTGAAATATTACTAATTTCAATGTTGAAATATGTTATAGGATAGCAGCTGGCGACGAGTATTCCTACTTAAAGGTAGAATATATCTTCAACTCGTTCTCAGTTTTTCTTTTTTAGTATTTTATGTTCAATTACGTTAAAATATAAAGAATTAACTTTAATTTTTATCAATTTCTGAATATATATATACGGCATTTACTTGTGTGCTTTATAATATACTCACTGACAATATTCAAATCTGGAAAATAGAACGCATTCAATTGCGATCCTCCTAATTCAGAAATTCGTGGCCACCTTAAAAATTAAATCATCGAAATAAATAATAATAATAATCATATTAAATATAAACATTTCTGAAGTGGCGAAATTTACTTTGATCTATCATTTTTTTGATGATAGAAATCCATATATTTCCTAAACGAAAAACGTTGCAAGTTTAAAGTATTTTCAAAAGAATTGTTGGTCATTTCGGGAAGCTACAAATATAAATATTATTTTATTAGGCATTACATTATTTACTCATTTGTATAAAAAATTGTAAAAATTAAAACTTCCACTTACTTCTTTAAAATAAACTTCCAGTTCTTTCACGTCTCGAGTCCATTGTGGAAAGCTCAAGAACGTCACCATATGATTCAACTGTTTCGAAACATTTTCCTATTTTAACAAGGTCTAAGACGGAAATAATACGAGAATTCGCTCTGACTTACTTTGTCTTGAACCGCTTCTTTCGTTGGTTTATCTAACCAGGTCGTTTGATCAATCATTTCTTTCATGGCTTTCGTCATATAATCGATCAATTCTTTGCTCTGAGACAAAAACAGAAACCGTAATCGTGATATTGTATTTTACACTTAATTCGAGATAATATAAATAAAATGTTTACAATGGTTTTCTGTTTTCTGTGTCTTCCGTACAGATAATCTAAAGCGGGACTAGCTGATTTTACAAAGAAATCGTAACACGAAGACCATTTCATATCCGAGTTCGAAGATCTTCTACGTTTTAATTTACGTTTAAAATTATTTTGCTCTTTTTCGGTGTTGTATGTCAGCAATTCGCTGATAAATAAGGCCCCGGCATAATTTAGTAATAATCTGAAAGGTAAAAAAAGAAATAACTTTTAAAGTTAGCGTGATTAATTCTATGTAAAGTACTTTCCGCAGTAATTGTTATACCCGGTGATATTAACGGTAAATTTCAAAAATGTGTATGGTAAAACCCATTTTAAAAACATTGTTAGAATACCCATAAACTACGTGGGAAGTATGTCCAAGTAAATAGCAAATTTATAGATAAATTATTATAATTAGTTTGGTTTATTCGGTTACAGCGACGCGACCAGGGGAATGCCTCCCGGGAGAAGTTTTATAGGAAACTGGCCCTATTGAAGGAGACCCGGAAAACTGCACGTGGCCAGCCTGCTGGCGATGCGCAAACCCACGACCAACTAACTACAAGTGGAACAGTTTCGACTCCACAGAATGTATAGCAAACAAACAAGCAAACATTCTCGTTTATAAAGATACATTTAATATACACTCATTGCCATAAAAACTAGTTTACTGAGAAGGAGTCGTCCAAATCGAACGAAATTGTACATGTTTAAGTGCAACGGTGATATAAGTAAGTGATTACAAAATGAAAGCGAAAGAATCATTTATTGCAGGAAAAATTACAAATGAAAGGACGTTCTAGTTTGTTGTTGGGCCACCTCTATCGTAAATACACGATGTGATACTGGCAGGGTTTGAGGTATACAAATGCCGTCTGGTGTCCTGTAGCATCTCAGTTCACATTTGCTGCGAGTGGTCCTCTAGTTCGGTCAAACTCCTAGGCTGTCAAACTTGGCGTCCCAGGCGATCTCAGACATGTTCGATCGGTGACAAATCGGGGGACCGGGCAGGCCACGAAAGTGTGGCGATGTGGCAGAGGCAGTCTTGTGACGCCCTTGCCGTGTAAGATCAAGAATTTTTCTGTTGAAAAATGACTCTTGGAAGCCTTTCCATGAAAAGCAACACATGTGACTGCAGGATGAAACTAACATACCGCTGGGCTGTCATGAATTTTTGCATTTTTGAACTCAGGGGACTTTGAAACTTCGAAAATGATGATTCGGAGATTTTTTTCTGTATGTAGGGATGCTAGTGTGTGGGGGGAACACGATTTTATTTATCCTTTTTAAGCTTAATAACTCCTGTGCTTTTTGTGGAAATTTTCTGAAATTTTGCAGGATAGTTTGTGATCCTATTCAACTTTGGTGATTAAAAGTTGACGAGATGGGGAGATAAAAGGGTCGTACCATATCTCGAGTAGGGTCTGACTTAATGACGATTTTCCTCGTTATTAGCATTTACAATTTTTTATAAAATTCATCCTTACCCTCAAGATTAAGCTTTTTGCGTACAAGCGTGCACATGATAGGTGAGGGGATTTAAAACATCAAGGTTTGTTTCACAATAATTTTCTTTCTGATAGTTGAAGTACGTAAATAACAATAAGGGAAACATTGGGGCAGAAAATAAATAAAAAAGTAAAGATTTTTGATCATTTATCTTACCTTGAATAGAAACGCTCACGTAGAAACGATCTGCATCTAACCAAAAACAGCTTAAACGCCGTACTGTCAGCCCTTTACTTCCCCCGCTTTCTTCTCTCTTCGATTTGAGAAATAACTCATTCGTACACTTACCCAATTCGCACACACTTGTACAAAACCACTTTACAAACTCATAGGATGGAACGTAACATAACTTAAACATAATGAAAAATAGGTGCTTTACCCCACGCACTCTTATGAATATGTATACGGTAGGGTATATAAATCCAATAACAAACTCTTTTACTTTTTTCCTCGAAAATACTTAGTGAAAGTTTTTTGACTATCATGTATGTACAAGCTTATTTCACATTAAGTTTTATTTCAAACATGAAGTACATAAAAGTCAGATATTCATTTCATATACTTTCGTTGTTCTACCAATAATCACAAAGTTCCAAAGCACTTCGATCCCTGAATCATGCGCTGTACCTTCGGTGCTGAATAATAAGCTCTATATTTCAAAGGAGGGGTGTATAATTATCGAGTAGGGAAGTCGTGGATAACTTCCGATAGGTGTCCATTTTCGTATTCAACAAAGGGAACAGACAGGTTAATTAATGTTACTTGCTTATAGAAAACTAATGTAACCCGATCACAATGAGGGAACAATGTGATACAGTTATGTTCTTCAATGAAAATTTTGTTTAGAATTAAATATGTAACTTGGTTTGTACCTGTATTAATGGACGGGATATATATTTGTCGCGAATTGGAATTTGTCAATGTTACTTACCAGGAAAAGTACTGACACGTTACGATCACCATGAAGGGACATGTGATACGATTGTGCTTAAAAAGAAAATTTTGATTGTAATTCATTACACAACTTTGCTTATACTTGTGTGTTAATGAAACAGTTTATTTTGTTACAGTAAGAAAACAACACAATTGCCGCGATGAGTTTTCCTGTGACGAACGTCGGTTAGAGAGTAATTCATGTGGTTCAAATTTTAGGAAAATTTCCCCATCCCCAAATTTGCATGAAAAATAATTTCATCAGTCACAACCAAAGACTGGCCTAAAGTAATACACCATTGTTAGACGGAATATAGAATGAAAGTCACGGAACACGATGTTGAATAATGACCATGATTTGCGGTAGTCTGCTTCGGAAGAAAACCGATGACAGAACTGTCGCTTGTTCAATTGATAATAGTCCGAAATCACTTCCGAATGCCGAATTATTTTTCAATCAACCAATCAAACCTAGGGATTGTAGACTTAGAACAGTAAACTTGATTTGCGACTGACTGCATCCAAGGGATCACTTGTTCGAAGAGCCGACACTCAGATATTGAGTTGATTCAAATAATCAAAAAAAGTACTCCGCCAATTTTTCTCTGGAATTTTTTGACAGGAGATAGAGCCAGCAGCAAAAGTACGTAACTCAAAGTAAGGTCAACACTCCGTATTCCGGAAGTGACGACACCTAAGGAAGCTTTTACGTACACTTTCTAATAGTGACAGATAAAAGGTTGCCCCTCTTTTAGACTTTAGTAAAATATCGTGAATTATTTTCGAATAATGTGAATTGCTCGATCTCAGAAAAATGAAAAATGTGTAATATTGAACCTAAGGTAGCAGAATGATACATTGTAAAAAGAACTAGTATTAGATGTAACCGGGAGTGACTTTGAGATCCAATTATACGCTTATTGTGAGGAGAAACTTCGTCCTTTGCCGATGTATCCTCCGTAAGTTACAGACCTTCGTTGAGAGAAACTTCGGACATGCCGATTTGCATTCATCGGACATCGTTTCCTGTCCGACAACTGAACTTGGAATGCAACATCCGGTCAGCGAATGAAAACCACCTTCTTCACCGGACTTTCCTCTTCTTTTGTGAAGACTACGCGCCGAAGTATACAAGGACTTAAACCCTTTGTGACTATGAACTTTTTGTAAGTTAAATTGTCTAATAAAGAGGTTGTGTTGTTTGTAAACGAGGCATCGATCTCTGACTCAATCGCTCCCACATAACGTTGACTGTTACCGCTCGGCAGTCAGACGACAATGGAGATGATAACGATATCACATATAATTGTTATTTTTCGTTTTGAAATCCCTCTCGGCCTCTCACAAAAACAACACGCACAAAATGTACTACGACAGAACCATAATCACAGATAAAACAATTTACCACAACAGACCAGACATCACACTCATTGACAAACACAACAAAATCACATACATTATAGACATAGCCATTCCAAACACTCACAATGTACAAAACGCATGCACTGAAAAAGTCAGCAAGTACACACAACTCGCCCAGGAAATAAGGCATCTGCGTAGGATGAAAAGGGTTCTTATTGTACCTGTCGTTCTCTCTTGTACAGGTGTCATACCACACACACTATACAAAAGCCTGGGCACATTACAATTGAATAGAAATACATACATCACACTACAGAAAGCCAATATATTGGATACATGTCATATTGTTAGGAAATTCCTGAATACAGACACACACACACTGACACATTTCTTTAATTTCTATTTTGTTTTGGTTACTATGCCTTGACTCTGGTCCGGCATAGTACACTGCCAGCGGTGTCAACCGAGTATAACTCACAAAACCCAACATAATGACAATATAATAAATACAAGTACAGTACACACCTTTCGGATATTTCCTTATTTTCAAAAAGTTCTATGATATTTTTAATGTATGTCTTTCCGCTTAAAAATACACGATCGTGTGCATTAATGGTCACTTCCGGATTTAGATAACCTTGAAAGATGCTCTTGATAAAAGACAACCATTCCACCTAAGTAAATATAATTAGGTAAATAATTATAATTGTTTTTTCTAAAAATATCTACTAATATATCTTTCCTTACTTCGGGATACATCGAGTTTAATTCTTCAATTGTCACCACTTGACGATCATTTTCATCTTCCAGTATTTCGGCATCGGGACGAGATAACTAAATTGTAATTGAAAAATAAATAACATTTAATTTAAAAATGATTTATTAATTAAAATTCAACTTTAACAAAATAATTTCTCACATTAGTAATTTGTTTTTTTAACCAAAATATATCATCTATATCTTTATCGATAGAAGTTTTATTTGAGTTGCCGAATGAAGAAACAAGTTTTTCTAGTGTACTCCTGTCTATGTTTGTTTTATCTTCCTCCAAACTCGGTTGGGCCACCTGTAGCAAGAAATTAATTCGTACATAATTTGCGTGTTTTAATTTTTAAAGATTTAGTTTTTGTCAGAATAAAAATAATCTCCATTTGGGCATTTCTCTGTAGATTCTTTACAAATATAGATGAGCTCAGAGAAGTAAATATCATTTGTAAAACTTATAAATTCGTTTATATATTCAAAGACCATTCTTACGAAGATTTCAATAAAAATAATAATGTTTATATTTTTGGACTCATACGTAACCTTGAAACGTCGAGAAATACAAAAAAAAAATTGGGGATTGTTTCCTGTATGTATTAATGTTAGTGTGTGTGTGGGGCGACACGATTTGTTCACCATCTTTGAAGTTTAATAACTTCTGTGCCTTTTGTGAAAAACTTCTGAAAGTTTACAGGAAGGTTTGTTTATTAGTGAATTGACGCTAATTAATGTATGTTATACTCGATGATTATACTTGATATATGTGACACGAACTTTCTCTGTCTCACCACCAAAAGATGGTGAGATAGAGAAAGTTCGTGTCACATATATCGAGTATAATCCTACTTAATAAACTCTTTTTTTACTCATTATTATCTTTTAGAATTTTTTGTTATAAAACTCATCTATACTATTAAAATTAAGTTTTTTGCCATTTTATAATATTTAATAATGTCAATAATTTAGTTGCACTGCAAGCTAATATGCGTGTGTTAACATGTGTTTCTGTTCCACAACGTTATCAGTACCATTATGTTCGCTTGCTGGTTGCAGAAGTATGTGTATTAGGTACTAATACAGACAATTGTTTTCGTAAAAAAATATAGTTTTCATAAATAATATAATTTCATTTCACTATTTTACTGGTACCTGATACTTCTCGAAGAAAAGCCTTATATGTTTTATTGTAAAATAAATTTCTTTGAATTCGGCGACCCCGAAAAATTTTCTCTCGACCCACGGGTTGTACACAACTATTTCAAACGAATCGTGAAAATGATCGATTACTTAGTTTGAATATTCAACAATCAATCATAGATCATTCAAGCAATCTGAATAAGCGATAATTTCGCAATTTTATATTTTATATACCATAATTTAAATTAAAGAATAAGAAATCTCAGAGATGAATGAGTGATTAACAAATCCCACAATTATTAATAACTTACTTGGAGCACGTTTTCACTCGTGTTAAATGGATTTACAGCAACCGTTATATCAAAAAGAGAATCGATAACGTAAGTTTTGAAAACTTTCATATATATTTCCGTCCAGTGGGATGATGAACTACGGAAATTGGTTTCGAGCAATGGAAAGCCTCCGGCTTCGTTAGTCACTTCTTTAACCCAGACTATATTATCGGATTTTAAGTCTGCAATACGAAAATAACTCTTAATGATCTCTCTACGTTATAATTTTCTACGTTATAATCATCTTTGTTTCTCTGCCGCAAACAATTTTTTTCTCACCCAAGAACTGTTAATACTGAACTTGGTTTCTATTCAGTATAAAATTAAAACAAAAAGTTTTCACATAAGCAAATTTGTCCAATCCCAAATACTTAGTCTTTACTTATCTCTGTGTGATTTTTAATTTACATAAACTTGTAATCCATAATAATAAAATTCATAGTGATGATGATAAATTTAGAGACCACGCTTCCATAAGAAACGGGCTATTTCATCGGTTTCTTCGTCCAGCTGTATTAAAGCCGCTATACCACACAACGCGCCCAGAAGGATGATTACAGCATCGAAAAATGTACTGAAGAGACAAAAAAATATTCCAAAAGATTTGCATTGTCAAATTACGCTCTTGAAATGCTTAAATGCTTTTAATTCTTATTTAAAAGTATTTACAGTATATTGCTTTAATATATAGTCACTTACCGTATTCCATACAAACAGCGAAGGCCTTTAAGATTTTCTTTACACTATTGGGCAAATCTTCATTTCCCTTTTCTAATTTAAATATCTCTGTAAGAAATTGACCCATTAAATCTTCACGATAGAAATTTAATTCAAAAAGTTTTATTCAATATTTCATATTTACAATTGTTAATTAAATTTAGGAAAAGATATCACCTTCACATTCTTAAAACTAAAAAAAAAGTTATGGGATGTCAAAATACTCGTACGCTAAGTTATTGTAAAATATAACTATATTTTTTATTTTATTTTATTTCATTTTTTCTGTTTTCGCTTTGTTGGCATTAAGTTGGCCTTTTCCATATCCAGAGCCAAGCCTATAATGGAATGACTGAGTGGTGAGGTTAGAGCTCGACGCATTTGGGACTGACCACTCATGGACACCGATAACGAAAGTGCTGACTGTCTGGCAAAATCTGCAGCAACCGACTTGGAGGCGGAGGAAATATACAATAAAATTCCTTTTTCTAATATTATTTATATTCTATTTGTATTCCATTTATGTAATTATGTATGTATCTACTCCTTTATACAGTGTATTTGCTTCCTGGTAATGCTATGCGGAGCCAGGCGCCACGTCTTGTGTCAAATAGAATATATAATGATAATGATGACCACTCGTGGATACTTCTTCTAATTAATGTTTTCTCATGGATGTTTTCTGATATGACCCCGAGTTCCTAGACCTTTAATCTATTCGAAGACATACAATTAGATACGAGCGATTATTTATTATGACATCGTCACAATGCCGGGCTGCAATCTTTAATCACATTTTTAATTTATTTCATTTAAAATATATATTTTCCATCTGAAATTAGTAGTGTCTTGCCCCCGTACATCATACTTTTCCTTTAACAGTAGTGTCGTGCCGAAAATCTATTAACTGCTTTCAGGGGAAACTTTTGAATATTCTAATTGCTCTATTTTGAGATTTCTAAAAAAAAATAAAATCCAATTACGCAAAATTGATTGTGGAAAGGGAACGTATAAATTTTCTTACGCTTCACTTTAAAGACTTCTAATAACACAAAAATAAAATTTAGTCGTGTAATTTTCAATTTAGTGATCGTCTACGTTCTAACTAAAACATTTAAAAAAAAAGAAACTAAATATGAAAAATATTTTTTCAATTCAACTTTCACTAATTTCATATTCCATTTTATCAATTTGTTTTGGTTTGATAGCATTGCTATTGTATAGATGCCGTGTTTGAACTATACTGTTAAAATGCGATTAACATTAATAAATAGCAAACAGATAAGAATGCTTCCCTTCTATAAAATTATACAAACGGTGCCACTTTTTGGCTAAATAGTTTTAAAATTAGGTTAAAATAATATAAAGAAAGTAGGAAAAATGTATTTAGGACCTTTGAAAGTGTTTTCTAGATTTTGTACGGCGACATATATCGATCTTGCTGGAAAGGTCTTATTCATTATCCGTTGTCCACAACTAAATTGATAAAAGTCTTCACACGGGTCGACAGAAAAATTCATCGAATTCAGCAAGTAGTTAGCTAATTGCATAAAATATTAATATTTCTTTCAATATATGTATAATTCATTAAACTGAATTTATAATTTAAATAAGAATGGAAATTTATTTGTTGAAAGTTACCTGTCTCTACACAGGAAGCTTCTGTACAGATTTCTTCCATTTTGTAATACCTTTTGTACCTTTGTGTAGTACCTTTTGTACCTTAAGAAATAAATTTGCAACCAATAAGAATATATTGAATTATTTTTGTTATATTGATAAGAATATATAGAAATATTCTCGTGGGCAGAAACAATATAGTAATAAAAATCATAGAATCGTGTGGTCATCGGAGAGATATTTTTAACGTTTTTCGTATTGAGGCAGTTGAGAGCCACCAAATAAAAGTCGACTCCACCTTAAAACTATTGTTTTTGTGTTTCATTGTTTTAATATCAAAACTTAACACTCGATGTAAAAAAATTGATTACCTAACACGGCTATAATAATGACTGCAGTTATAAGTTCGAATAGTATGACCAGAAGAACGATGACCCCCGCAAAGAACTTTTTTTCTCTCTTTGTTCTTTTTCTTGGTAACCTACTATATAAATTAATAATCCTTGTTTAGTGTATATAAAATCAGTTATATGTTTATAGTATAATAATGAATTTACTCACACAACATAAATTTCGTTACCATCGATATTCCAACTCGAAGTCATTATTATTTTTCAAAATTACACTTTACATAAATATTTACAACATACAATATGTAAATATATATAATTTACAATACGTAATGAACGAGCACTTATTTACAATACCGAAATGCAATTTTTAATTATATTTTATAATTTATTTAATTTAAAATAGATGTTCTCCGTCTCAAATTAGTAATGACTTGCCCCTGTACATCATACTTTTCCTTTAACAATAGAGTCGTGCCGATCATCTATCTAACACCTTTCCGAGGAAAATTTTTGAATTGAAGTAACGTGACTTCCGGTTTGCATGGGGAAGTTCGTATACAGTTAAAGGGGGCTTCCTACAATTACAGTTTTCATATCTGTTTTCGTTTTTCATCTATATAACTCGGTTCTCGAGATTAACACTAAAACAATGGAGATAGTTTCGTAACTCAATTTTTATCTGTGACAAAAATCCGGTCTAAGCATCAAGTTGTAATAGGATCTGCGATTGCGGTATATTGTTATACCACACCGCATTTTTATTACCTAAATTTTAAGGAATTTTATTATCGAAAAAATAACAATTTTTCAACAATATAATATTTCTGTTTATAATTATAACAATAATAAGTGTCGAAGTCGATTAACATCCTATGTCTAAAGTGTCCAGTTGTCTATGAATATCGATCTAAAATGTGTAAAGTGAGAGACCGACTCTTTCATTTCAGACATGTACAGTGTTTACTGGTTTCAATTAATCATATGTAGTGAATTTTAGGTTAATATTACCTATTGTTCCAAAATGGCGATTCGGGGCATTCGGCGGAAAAGTTGACAGAGGGAGCTGTGTTAAAACGCGTGATGAAATATGCAAATTTGTTGAACGAGCCATAAAATGTGATTTTGCGTAAATATGCAAATTATCAGATATGGCGTAGAAGATGAATATTTCTCGTGTAAATATGCAAATTATTAGTTAGACGTTTGCGAAAGTTAGTCGTTGCGTGTTATGTGTACTCTATGATAGTTTTCTCTATAATATTTTTATACAAACAAGTTATTTGGGTAAAATATAATCTTAAATTATTATTTTTTATTAAATATTACGATAATTGTTGTTAATTTTTTGTTTGACGGTAATACAACGATGAGTTTTGTAGACATCATTCTGACGAATTTTGGTCTAGTTGTACAGGTAGGTCTACAACCCGCAAATTTTACCAGTTCATGGACAAAAATTGCTTGATTTGTCGAGTGAATGACGGATCTGAGACCACCCTAAATTGAGTTGTGTCTAAATTTGTAAATTCTGGTAGTATAATTATCACCGGTGAATGAAAGGGACATAATCACATCGACGACATTGAAGGAATAGATATTGAACATAGAACAATTAATCATTCAAAAAACTTTGTAAACCCCAAAACAGGTGATCATACCCAAAACATTGGAACGTTATGGGGTTATTTTAAAAATAAAAAAAACCTGCCAAAGCATTACACGAATGATCTGTCGGACTCATACGTGTATTTGTCTATGTTTAAGAAGTTCACGAATTGGCCTAATAGAAAATCCGGAGAAAGAATTCAAATATTTGTAAAACACTCGAGTATGATACATCCAGGTACCGGAAGATCCAGAGTGTGTTCCCGTCGCACCAGTTTCTAATATTAAAAAGAAGGAAACACAGGAAAGAGGGGGGAAAGGACAAGACAACAACGGAATTGAGTAATAAGACAAATAAAAGAACGTAAACAAGTGCAGAGGAATCGACTACGTCAGGGAAGAAACATAGGAATGAAAAAAAAGGATCACTAACGTGAGTAATACTTTTATAAATTTACTAGAATAAGTTAGTTTAGGAGGCGCGTCCTCTCCGTTCAAAATATCTGTTACCGCGCGGTCTCGAGAATAGTTCAAAATGGCGACAGGAAGTTCCGCCATTTTGGAACCATAGGTAACATTAACCGAATGTTATTCGTTTATTATAAATGAAACCTCTGTAGTTGACTTAAGTTTTTAAATAACTGAATAACTTTTTGAGTTGTGAACTTATCTAATATATTTACGATATTCATACGAAATAAAATAGTACATAATAAACTGTATTTAAATAAGTTCTCAGTATAGAACTATGAGCACCGAGTTTTGGCTCCATGGAGAACTATTGACGTTTCGGAGTAATCGCACAAAAATAGATAAACCTTACAGTAAAATTGCTTCTGTAGTAGAGAACATTGTACGAACTGACTGCCTGCAAAAAAATATGTAACTTTTCTTAAAACAGCTCTCATTTTCGTAACTGGGATCTTGTTTATAACTTTGTATAATGTTCGTTTACCGTAGTATTTACTTCACAATTTCATTAGCAACGGTTTTAATGTCTGGTTGCTATTTGTACGGAAAAAATAATATAACGACTACGAAAGATACCAAATATGAAGTCATTCACGCATCAGCAACAAAATAGATTGTTTTTTTTATGTATGTATGAAAATGTAATTTTGTAATACAGTGGAACCGCGCTTAACAAGCATAATTCGTTCCAGAATCTTATTCGTAATGCGAAACACTCGTTAAGCGAAACAACTTTTCCCATAGAAATTAATAGAAAATACGATAATGTTATAATAAAACAATACTTAAACCTCTGAAAATTTAAAATCGAAAATCATTTTATAAATTTCGAGAAGGGTTCTTACCTGTTTCCTGTTGCATCCAGCATTACCGAATGATGTATAAATCGTATCTATAAAAATTTGGTGCGCGATATAACTTTTAATAATCAAACTGTTTCGTCACCTTACACTATATATCAGTTTTTGTCCTATCATCCGATCGTATCCGATGTCGAATATAAACAAATATTAAATGTTTATTTCAATGTACAGACGTTTAAAAATGTATACGAATTTAGGAATTTCGCTTCGTATTTTGTATTTAAATGGAAAGAAACTTATTCGTTAACTTTAAAACGCATCTGGAAATAATTAACCCCTTAACCTCCTGTTGAAGAGCCGTCGAGCAACATTTTTAAACCGATTGTTTTTAATCCGATGACTATAAGCGTGTACAGTACAACTATCGATATGAAGATATAATTAAAAATATCACTAAGAACAACAATGTAAAAAAATACATCATTTTTATTTAAAAAATATCTATATTTTATATCTATATGAAAAAAAAATTACACACAACCATTTTAACGACGCTATCTGGATACATCACTGTCTCTTAGACTATAGATTTTATGATAAATAAATTTCGTTCAGATTAAAAACACTGTACAGTGTACAAAAGATAATAAACGTAAAAGTCTTTGCAGTATCAAACTCTCTATATTTAAGGTTGCAAAAGTCTCGTTAAAATTAGCTAATAAATTTAATTTTAAGTTATTAAGTCTAATAATTAATTTTTCTTCAATTGCTTTAGAATATGATAAACGTGTGGTTCTATCATAACGAATTAAACATTTAAAAAAAGCTTAAATTTATTCTTATTTTTTAAACACACGTATTCTAATTTCTATCCCAGCATAATAACAATAACTACAGTACATTTCTTTCTGTAGAATAGTTTTTTTTTGAATTAACAGTTTACAATTTTCTGATTTGTTACATATTATAATGCTGCAATTTGAAAAAATCGTAGACCTATAAATTTCACTCTCGTTCGTCCGTCCGTTCATCCGTTGGTCCTTAATGTCAAGAAGGGAATTAGATAATTGAAAACCAAGAACAGATTTTGAACATATAGTGTCAGATGACCCAGATTACTTCCAATACAAACCGGATGTTACCTTATTTCGATTAAAACCTTTTACCCTGAAACTAGTTAACAGATGACCAACACGACTCTATTTTTAACGGAAAAATATGATTTACAGGGGCAAGATACTATGGTACTAATTTGAGATGGAGAGCATATATTTTATATGAAATAAATTTAAAATATGATTAAAAATTGCTACTTGGCATTGTGACGATGTCACAATAAATAATTGCTTGTTATTCATATTTTGAAATATAGAGAGTCAAACTAAAAGAAACGTATCAGTAAAAACACCAACTAACACCTGTAATCAGTTTAAACGAACTAATTTATTATATTAACAAACGTTTTCAACTGTTTTCAACAACCACCTTCAGTTTATGGAATGTTNATTGGAGTTGCCGAATGAAGAAGCAAGTTTTTCTAGTGTACTTCTCTCTATTTCCGTTTCGTCTCCCTCTAAACTCGGTTGGGCCTCCTGCAAGTCTTTTGTGAACATACAAATCATGGGGAAACAAACATATATCTTTAATACATAAAGTGGCAGTGGGTATTACATTTTCAAAGATATTATCAGTTAAAACGGTTATAAAACTACGCCCTTCGTTCACCATATGATACATTTATTTTTGGGATTCATTTTAGAACCCAGTTTACAATTGAAAGCTTCAGAAAATTCTTTCATATTGGCGATACTACCGATCACTCTGAAGTAAAACAAAAATGAAATCAAATAACTCGTCTAAAATGGGCCTATACGATAACTATTACCTGAATTGATCAGCGGCGTGTTCGTCATCGGCGTGAGCCAGAGCCGCGTACCACGGTGGAAAACTACTACACCACGACTATAATAAAATAAAATGTATTAAATATTCGTCTTTAATAAAATGCATCATTATTACATTTAGGAAAATTACCTCAGCGAAAGATACAAAGAACAATTGTTCGGGACTGTACTTTTCTAGACCCGGCAGACGTTTCTCTCTACCGTGACCTTCTACCCATTTTTTATAACCCTGTTCGAAATTTAAAAATAGGTAAATAAAGCTGTTTATTTAAATCTGTTCGTAGAATTCATAAATTTCTTGCAAAAATGTCAGAAATTTAATAAATTATAAATTATTTTCATTATTTTCATTAGACTAATAAACTTTGCCCCCATTCGTATTTTGGAAAAGACTATTGTAGGAATATATAATAAATTTATAAGAATAAATTATAATATATAGAATCATTTTACCAGATAAGCTTGACGTATTCCACCATTATCGGCAATATTTTCCGATAAAGTTTTCTTTCCGTCGACCTAAAATATCGTAAAATAAGTTTCTGTATATTTTATATAATTTCATTCGCATAATTAACTAAAATTTTAATTCTTTATCGTCGTAATGCTTCGTGTATAAAACACGCGAGTCAACTTGATTTTAATTCGAGAAGCGCGCTAAACCAGTAGGAAACCTTTATTTATTATGCAATAAAAGCTTTAGAGGAGAAGATGGTATTATGGAACACTGCGGGTATTACGGAACCACCCCATTTCGAACCGATAATAAAGGCGAACCGTAGCGGAACGTGGCCGAACTGAACAAGGCGGACATCCATAGCGAGGGGAAAACCCGTTTTACTTCAGTTAAACGGTTGTCCGTATTTAATCGGCAAATTTGTTATTTTTCAAAATTCGCCAGTTTTGAATGCTAAGCGAATTTAATTATTTTTAAAATGTAAATCGTGTAGTTGTAGGTTCACCGATGCACCGTATTCCGTTCCAGAGACTTAGGGGTACGTACTAATCTGCGCGATTTTCACGTTTTTAAAGTTTGGTGCCGACAGGAATTAAGTTAACCCAAGACGGAGACGCGCGAAATACGGACCCCATCGGCGCTTTCAATACGGAACCCGACTCCCCCTGGTGTTCGGTATTACTAACAAATTCAAACCGTAAAATAATGTTTTTACGTTTTATTTTATTTACGAAAACATTTTTTAAATTTAAATACTATCTTAACGAGAAATAAAATGTAAGGTAACAATCGAAATAAACATTTTTTTCACGAAAAAAAAAAATATCGTCCGTTTACAAAATAGCGAAACTGAGCACGCGCGAAGTGACAGTATCGTCTGGTAAAGTAAATAGTCTACGAGTAAGTTGAAACTTTTATGTTTATTTATTTGAAAAATAACAATAAATTTAGCAGTTGTGATAAATGGGCACATCGTTCTTGTGCCAATATTGAAGTGATGACTCTCCTTTTGACTTGCCTGGTTTTAAAGATGACACTGCTTGTCTGTTTGCAGATGATAGTCATAGGGAGGTGTGGGTGCAATGCCTAATGTGCGCTATGTGGGCGCATAAAGATTGCGCCGATGTTGAAACGGAGCGTTATATTTGTCATTTTTGTAAATGATTAGCTTCTTCTTTCTACATTTCTTTATTATTATTATTATTATTAAATCATTTTTGCGTTAAAATACATTGAAGTAAATAATTTTGTAATTATTTAACATTTTTTGTCCTTTCCTATTTGTTTTTGGCTACATTAAAGCATTTTTTGAAAATATACAGTAAGGTTCCGTATTACCACCCGATTTTCTCTAAGCCTACTTTCTGATTTTTTGCACAAAAGCCTTCGAAAACCGTACTTATAGTTACACTAGCGAAAAATCCAATTAGGACCATTTAGTTTAATAGTTACCAGTACTTTTTGCACAAAAAATGTGGGTGTAGTTACGATACCTTGTTTACAATTCACTAAAATGTAATTGGGGTTCCATAATACCACCTTTTCCTCTACCATTTGTCTGCAGTATAAACTGAATTTTACTCTGATGATTTGAAGATATTTTAATTAAATAAGAAAAAATGTAAAATATCACAAGTGTATTTTTATATATGCGTATCTATATAAATATAATTTACGTTTTCTCTTTATTAATATTTTTTTGTTTTGCTTTTTTCGCCCCGTGAGTACTAAGAGAACATTTTTCGGCCAGGTCCTTAATGGGGCGGCCGAACGGTGAGAAATGTGACCCGATATATCGGGGACAGAACACCCCGAAAAATTAGTGGAGTTTATTGATTACCCGAAATCGATCCTGGGTTCCCCGGAATGATAACCCCGAGATCCTGGACTAAAGCCTTAAACGCTTCGATAATCAATAATCACACATTAACAATCACTATAATATCATAATGCTACAGTCTATTACTAACGTCACTTCTGGATTTAAAAAAGATACCTAAGGGTATCGAAAAATTCTCTCCTCAGTGGGTATTTTGTAAGTCAAAACTTACATTACCGCTGAGGAGAGAATTTTCGAACATTCTTTACTTATCTAGAAGTAAAGGATGTTCGAAAATTCGTCCGAATACGTCGGGCCCGGCCGCCTCATTGTGGGCCTTGCTGAAAAGGCCCTCTTAGTGCCCACAGGGTGAAAAGAGTTAAAAAGAAAGTAGTACAAATCATAGACGATACTATCTGTGTTCAAATCACACACTATAAAATTCAATTCTGTAGAACTTAAATATGAAGGGACGTAAAAAAGTATAAGCTAAAATAACGGAAACATTAAGTGTTCATCTATATGTTTGCATTGAACTAAATTAAGAACATGAAGAAATAGGAATTAAAAAACTTACTTTTCTTTTGGTACCTTTTCCGTATGCGTAAGAACTGTACTGATCGATAAAACACTTCGATCTTTCCTTAAATTCTTTTCTGGATTTTTCTGTCCACCAGTTTTTAAGATTTCCATATTTATCTTTTAAACTTCCTGAGTTGAAAATATTTAACATTTCATTCGCAATTTGATTAATACATTTGCAATAAAAAATGATTTCGATCCGATACCTGACTCGTCGAATCCGTGAGTCATTTCGTGACCGTAAATGAGTCCCATTCCTCCGAAATTCATAAATCTGAAATTAGTCATTTTACAAATATATCTGCAGATAAATCATTACATTTGCTTTAATTAAATTACTACTAACTTGGGTCGTTCGGCATCGTAATATGGTAATTGCTGAATACCGGCGGGAATTACTGAAAACATTATTTATATTAATGAAATAACAGATTATATTTATGATTAAGTTTGAAATAAATAAGTCCATCGCCAGCTGATATCCTATTTACCTTTCCTCGACTCGCGCTGCGACTTGACACTTTGCCAGTCGAGCAATGCCGTGTGCTGTTCGAGTTGTCACAAACATTCGTCTTAACCAAAAATTATGATAGTTTGAGAACGACTTTCGGCATTTCGTTTATGAGTTTGTCAAGGGTTCTCGCCTTAAAAAAGTCACCATTTTCACAAATTAATCGCATACACTGCGGAACAACTTTCAGTGAAGTGTTTCACGTTAGACGTTCCACGTGACGATACGTCTATTCGATGTACAGTACCTTCCTAGAGAGCGAATTTGCTACAAGTTTGAGAGTTGTTCTAGAACTGTTCGCGAACACTCGTCTTTTCCAGGTACGTGAACTTTTCACGCACGCTACTAGAATAGGTCTGCAATCTGTACACGTCTTTATATGTCATGGTTGTAATTTGTAAGACTATGCAAATTTTAAGGAACATCTGTCATGTTTTACGTTGATGAGACATACTTAATACATCGGTGATCATACATCGGTTATGCAGTGGGCTACATCAGCTTGTGGCAAACGGTAAATAGCGAATGGATTCTAGTTAATCATGGTTCTGTTGATCTTATTTTGCAATGTGAATTTTATATAGTTCGATTCATTTATTTGTTACAACTTTTTCTTGGCTTGAATTAAATAACTTTTGTGAACATACAAATCATGGGGAAACAAACAGAAAATCTTGTTTGGACAGAAAATAAAATTATATTACGAAGTGAACCTGAACCGCAAATTCAATTATTAAAAACTATTTGATATTTACCTAATAAAACCTAATAATTATTAGTAATTGGATTCATTTGACAATAAACGTAATCTGAGAGAGAGAGGTACAGTACGTAGAAAAATTACATGAAGAGGGATTAATCACAAATAACTCCTGTAAACTTTTGTTGACAAGTTTGAAGATCCATATAATCCAATAAAATAATGAAGATAATAAAATTGAAGGCAATCAAAGAAGAAAAAGAAAGAATGGCAGAAATTGAAAGAAGATAGAACGACAAAGAATGGCAACCGAATCCCGAACAGAGGTGTTAGAACATTCGGAGCAGGACCGAAATCCTCGTCCTCGCTACCTACCAATATATTCGTACTCGCTGTGAAAGAAGCCTGCCTTTACCAATTATTGATTGATTAAAGAGAGTGACAGAGAACAGAGAAATATATCACGCTGCTCTGTCTGAAGAGACTAGTGACTCTTCACAACTGTAATTTTGAGTAGAGAGCCTCACTGATTCCTCCTGCTAAAACAAATTCCGTTCCGGATCTCGTTCAGTCTTTTATGTATTTATGTTCCTAGAAAATTCTATCGGACTCCAAATCTTTCTCTTTCAAAAATATTTTATGTTACAGTGTCTCACAATTAAACATCGCGTCGCACGAAAATTTTGCTGGTCAAATCCCGTAAATTTTCGTGCGATATGATGAAAACACTAATTCGTTGTAACATTAAATTCTGTTGTAGAATTTCGCAGGATGAAAATTTATTTTAATCACAAAAGACACAGTCTGTCCAAAAATCACTTTTTGAAACCACCATTTATTCTGATCATGTGTTCCAGAACACCATCGATAACCCGACCTTTCTTTGTAGGCTACTAGGTCGTCAGGCTAAAACATTCTATAAAAAACACACAAAAATATCTAATCAAAACACTAAAAGTAAAAAAAAAAAACTTATTTTTTTTTTTACTTTTAGTTAAACTTTACTTTAAAAAGTTTTACTTTTTAATTAAAGTAAACTTTTTTTACTTTTAGTGTTTTAATTGGATATTTTTGTGTGTTTTTTAAAGAATGTTTTAGCCTGACGACCTAGTAGCCTACAAAGAAAGGTCGGGTTGTCGATGGTGTTCTGGAACACATGATCAGAATAAATGGTGGTTTCAAAAAATGATTTTTGGACAGACTGTGTCCTTTGTGATTAAAATTAAATTCTGTTCTTGAAAACAAGAAAAATAGTCACAAAAGGGAGTGAAATTCCTATTTATGTAGATTGATTTTGACGATTATCAATAACAAAAAAGTTGGCTGATGTCATTCTCGAAATCAACAGACAAAATTCAATTCAATATGGAACCCACAAATGGATTTCAATCTACGAATTTCCTACTGGCTTGAATTTAAGGACGAATTTATTAAATATGATTAATTAAATATAATTGTATCCCTAATAACAACGGTACGTCATCAGTCATACAAAGCTTACACTTTCGTCAATTCGATTATAGTATGAAAATTTAATTAAATGTTGATAATGTGTTAATGTATTCATTGGTTATATTTTACACAAAATAACTTCAGTTGTTACCGAAAGACTACTGAATAGAAATTTTGGGCCTAATTTAGATAAACTAAAGAAATCTTCGGAGTAATAATTGAAGAAGATTAAGACTAAGGTTATTAAGATTACAAAAATGCAAATTGAATTTAATATCGAATCGCATAGCTGCAGTATTTGTACTTCATCAATTTACCATAACTATCAATGTAGATGAATAAACAGACTTTATTATAAAAACTAAATAATATACTTTTCATCGAATGACAATGAAAACTTATCAATAGTTGCAGAATACAGAAATGGACCCTCCAAAGTTTATAATTATTTCTGTTTTACTATTCTCATTTTGATATTCTTTGAATAAATTTAGTATATTTGAGTCTTTGTAAATATTCATTTTTTACCTTTCCTTGTATTACTTTCAAGCTTGTGTCGTTAGTATATATTGATATAGTAGTAATATTGTAAAAGAAAAATAGTTAACCTGTCATGAAATTATAGAAAAAAAAATATATGATTTAGCATTAACGAACTTAATTTGTCACTCTCTCTTCTTGGTAAATTATTTATCTATTCATCTGATAAATTAAGCAGAATATCACTTTGTAGAACAAGATATTCTTTTTATCAATATATTCCTTAGCTTATGTAAAATGCTTCTGCATTTCACGTTGCTAGTGCTTAAATGAGGTTCACCTTTTCTTGCCTCTGTTTAACATTAGTGAATAATATTTAAACAAACTGTTTTGCAAAAAATCCCATATTGTATGGATAATATCGGAGTGAAATAAATATTTGAAGAATTTAATTGCTAAACCGCTGAACAAAAATAAGATTAACAAGATAATTGGGACACGTATCTAACATCATTAGATAAAAAGCGGTAAATTTTTGAAATATTACTAATTTCAATGTTGAAATATGTTATAGGATAGCAGCTGGCGACGAGTATTCCTACTTAAAGGTAGAATATATCTTCAACTCGTTCTCAGTTTTTCTTTTTTAGTATTTTATGTTCAATTACGTTAAAATATAAAGAATTAACTTTAATTTTTATCAATTTCTGAATATATATATACGGCATTTACTTGTGTGCTTTATAATATACTCACTGACAATATTCAAATCTGGAAAATAGAACGCATTCAATTGCGATCCTCCTAATTCAGAAATTCGTGGCCACCTTAAAAATTAAATCATCGAAATAAATAATAATAATAATCATATTAAATATAAACATTTCTGAAGTGGCGAAATTTACTTTGATCTATCATTTTTTTGATGATAGAAATCCATATATTTCCTAAACGAAAAACGTTGCAAGTTTAAAGTATTTTCAAAAGAATTGTTGGTCATTTCGGGAAGCTACAAATATAAATATTATTTTATTAGGCATTACATTATTTACTCATTTGTATAAAAAATTGTAAAAATTAAAACTTCCACTTACTTCTTTAAAATAAACTTCCAGTTCTTTCACGTCTCGAGTCCATTGTGGAAAGCTCAAGAACGTCACCATATGATTCAACTGTTTCGAAACATTTTCCTATTTTAACAAGGTCTAAGACGGAAATAATACGAGAATTCGCTCTGACTTACTTTGTCTTGAACCGCTTCTTTCGTTGGTTTATCTAACCAGGTCGTTTGATCAATCATTTCTTTCATGGCTTTCGTCATATAATCGATCAATTCTTTGCTCTGAGACAAAAACAGAAACCGTAATCGTGATATTGTATTTTACACTTAATTCGAGATAATATAAANAAAATAAATAACATTTAATTTAAAAATGATTTATTAATTAAAATTCAACTTTAACAAAATAATTTCTCACATTAGTAATTTGTTTTTTTAACCAAAATATATCATCGATATCTTTATCGATAGAAGTTTCATTGGAGTTGCCGAATGAAGAAGCAAGTTTTTCTAGTGTACTTCTCTCTATTTCCGTTTCGTCTCCCTCTAAACTCGGTTGGGCCACCTGCAAGAAGAAAATAATATATATTTAATTTCTGTATTTTAATTTTTGGGGTTTTCTCAGAAGAAAAAATAATTTATATATATAAAATATTTCGATGAAAAATTTGTATTTTTGTTTGAATCGCTTATGACTGAATGCGATTGTAAAATCATTTTTCTGCTCCACTTTTATTATCTGTTCTGTCATTCACTTTTTACAGTTTTATTTATTTATTTTTTCGGCTCTTTCCTCTATGTGAGCGCTAACTATAAGGGTTTATTCAACCCAATCATGGGCTAGGCCCACAATAGAAGAATTTGTTGGTGAGAGACGAGGTCCTCTATACCGGGATAGATGGCTCATAAAAAACTCGTGGAATTCCTCGGAGTAGAAGGATGATGCAATCCGGACGTCGAATATTATAAAATATTGTAACGAGGTAAGAATTTTGATTACTTAAATCTAATCAACGTGTACTAATGATTCATTTCAATGAATCATCACAATTATAGATCACTTAGTTTGTTAATCGTAGAATATTAAAGCAAACTAATTGATTGATAATTTCGCTATTTTGTTGTCAGTAAAAATTCTTATTTTCGGAATAAACGTTAATTTTAACCGTTTCCGATGTGTGTGAGGAAATTTAAGATGAATGAGCAGTTAACGTGTGTATTTAACAGTTAGGTACTGTACTTCATTTAACAATTCAAAGACTAAAAACTAAATAAAAGCAATTAATAACTTACTTCGATGATGTTTTCACTCGTGTTAAACGGATTTATAGTAATCATTATTCCTAAAGGTGAACTGATGATGTAAGTCTTAAAAACTTTCAAATATAATTCGGTCCAATGAGAACGGGAACTACGAAAATTACGCTCGATCAGTGGAAAACCTCCCGCTTCTTTAGTCACTTTTTTAATCCAAGCTATATTATCGGAGTTTAAACCATCTGTAATACAAATAATAGCAGCGTTGAAATGTCTCTACGTTATAATTGAGGCGGAGCGTTAGCGAAACCTCTTCTATGTGGCTTAGAGAATTGTGTTCGTTCTCAAAATCGGGACAGGGTCCAACATATCCGGACCAGCCCCGAAAAATTCCTGGGTCCTCCAGAGCGGTAGGCTGCCACCTTGACCGCTCGGCCATTCGTCCCAACACGGCCGAACCTCAATGTCTTCCGTTGCCGGCAGGTACAAGAATGGCCTTTCCCGTGGTTGGCAGGAACGAGGATGACCTCTTTATGGCGACAAGTGCAAAGTTTACCCGTCCGCGCCCGTCAAGTACAAGGATCGCCTCTTCTGTGAAACAGAAGACGCAATCCTTAAACACAGAATTCTTAGCAATTTGTTTCAATGCGGTTTTCCCATATTCCGAAGATAAGTAACTAACTATATGTTAATTTATAATGAAATTTTACATTCCTGGCATTGCAAATACAGTGTGAAATTGCTATTGCTACAGCAAAATAACGAATTTTATATTAATATTATACCTGTAATAATTTTAAGTAGTTTTGACATACCGAGAAAAGTTTTAAAATTTCACTCGCATACACTCGCTTATTTTGTTTTAGTTTACTAAAAACGTACAAAGCTTTGATGCGGAATAGAAATTCTTATACGAGCTCTTTATCTCGCATCTCTTTGTAATCTTTAATTTACTAAAAATGCGAAACTAAAAATGCGAAATAATAAAGTTAACAGCGATGATAATAAAACCAGGAATAATACTTCCGTGTGAAACGGGAAACGTTCTCGATTGCTTTATCGGGCAACTCGCCCTGGGAAATAAGGGTGGTAATAGTATCGAAAATTATACTGTGTAAAGAAAAATATTCTAAAATGTTTGCATTATCCGTAACATCAAATCGCGCACTTAAAATGCATAAAATTTCATAATTCTTATTTAAAAGTATTTATAGTGTTTTAATATATAGTCACTTACCATATTCTATACAAACATCGAAGGCCTTTAAGATTTTTTTTACACTATTGGGCAGATCTTCGTTCTCCTTTTCTAATTTAAATATCTCTGTAATAAATTCAGATGGGATTCGATTAAAATCTATTTAAATTAATATAAAAGTAAGGGGGATAAAGGTCTTTGGAACCTTTAAAAGTCTTTTCCAGATTTTCGTTGGCTGCCTGTAACATCCTCGTTTCGTCTTCCGAATTATCTTTTATCCATTGTCCACAACTGAATTGATAAAAGTCCTCGCACGGATCGACAGAAAAGTTCATCGTATTCAAGAAATGATTAGCTAATTGCATAAAATATACATGAAACTTTCTTTCAATATATTTATAATTTATTAAATCCAGTTTTTCAATTTAAGCAATTTACCCGTCTTTACACACGAAGGTTCTGTACAGATTTCCTCCATTTTGTGTTTTCTACCTGAAAGAATAAATTTACAGTCGATGAGAATACAAAACATTGCCGTATCTTGAATTTTCTCATTTGGCAGAGACAATATAGCCATAAAAATTATATAACAGATACAAGAGAATTATTTGTACAACTACGCGATGTGGGTAATACATTTTTAAGGGCTCTTGTCGCGGCCATTCTTGATCGGCAAATATCTTAAAGCGATTTAACGCAAACTAGACTGGCTAAAGTAATAGTAAATGTATTTGTTGATCACCCACAGACCATATTTCGTGTGTGACATTACAATAGTAAAGCTCTCATCGATTCGATAATTTGAAATTTATTGTCATTCTAAAAAGGTAGAATAATAAAAGAAAACTATTAATGGCAATATTAGCTATATATAAATGAAAGAATAATTTGATCACGCTTTACGTTGACATCTCCAGGAAATAGTAGCAGCAAGAAAATATGAAAACAGATGGAAATTAATTAATTAAGATGCAGTTTTGTGATTAATATTTGTAAAAAAAATTCCAGTTATAATAGACATTTCTGAAATAATTAAAAAGGAAGCAACAAAAATTAGAAAAGAAATATTTTATACTTTAAAATTATCTTACTTAATAACAACTATCCTTGGAAATGATTAACTCGCAGCTAAATGATGCTATTAATAGAACAATGAGTATCACAATTCGTCAGTTTAATCAGAAAACTTCATACTGATCTTACGTAAGACGTTTCCAAAAATGTTAACAATTATTCTAACAATTTGATATATTTATCAACAGGGAACTGTTCTTAAACGGAATATAAAAGTTCAGTATTTTGTTCATAACATACTTTTCTTTAGTCTATAAATTTTGTTCCAAGTATTTTATACTTTTCCGACTGTTATACTGTATATAACAGAGGAAAAGTATGGCGATCGCCTCAAGATTTGGACTCGGGACTTTGAAACGTCGAGATATGCAAAAACTCGGGTTTGTTTGTCTGTGTGTGTGTGGGGGGGCACAATTTTGTTTACCGATTTTAAAGCTTAATAATTCCTATGCATTTTGTTTCTAAGTTATCGAATATTCTTCGATATCTTAGAAAAAATACTGCGGGGTCTCCACCCCTACCGCTCCTAAAGCCTACTCCCTCTTAAGCTGTTTTGTGTTTTGCAGTTTCATTGTTGTAAATACTCGAGTCAATAAATGTACATTTTAATTTCTAAAACTATTGCTTTTATCAATTTCTCCCAATCCCCATCTCAAAAGCCCGAGCCCGAGCAGCCGGCTTGCTGAATTTTATTGCCAGGCATTAAAATTATTCAAACGTAGCTGAATTCTCTATGAGGACCCAACCAGGTCCAGTTCTAGAATCACTTTTTTCACGTTATATCCTGGATTAAACAGAACGAAAACGTTCGATTTTTAAACAGTGTTTGCCATTTTCTCGGTATATTTAATACATATAGTTGAACACGCGTTTAATTCTTCACAACCATTGATACGCGATGATAAACACGGTAGGAATTAACATTTATTTCTTATTCTCCTTTCATTGTGTTCGTTCCGAGTGTAACGAGTAACGAATACTTTTGAAAAAGAGCATTTGTTACTTCGTCTCTCGGTGAGTAGCGAAAACGCGAGTGTGTTTATTATACGCGTATCGTTAAAAAATAAAAATAGTTGATTTAGTGTGACGGACATCGTAGAGTGATATATGACATCAAATACGTTCTCAACGTGGCATCTTAAAAGAAAATAAATAATTTTTTAAGATATATTGGGTTTAAGAAAAGGTTTTTGAGTTTTTTAGAAAGATTTTTCAATTTTTCAATTTAATTTTTATTTTTTGGTTGCGTGGTCGGAGAGACGTGAGAACGGACAGGGTTATCTCGGTGAAAGACGATTCTCTTCCGGCTTACCAGATGTTCGCATTTTCTTAAGACATTTGTTAACTCGATGTACAGTATTAATAACTGCTAACTGTAGATAGTGGAATTTTAAACTCTAAGTCGTAAAAACTCAAAAAGTATGCCACTCGTATCCCACTGTAAACGAAATAATCATTTTTGGAATGCAATCCCTGACTCTTTTTGCTTGCAACGTTGTCAAAAATGACCATCTTTGCTGTTTGTATGGAAACGATATCTTCCCAAAATTTATCAAGCGCCATAAAAGCATATTATCTAGTGGCATTTGTTTCTCGAGTCTATCTAAACCAGATGTTAAAAAAGAAACTTAGTAGTGTCATTAAATAGTTATTTAATAGTTATAACGTGTTAAATATCACAATAATTTTAATTAAATCGTACTACTGATTTCTATCGTGACGCCTACTGAAAAACACACAATTTTTTTCTGTTTTATACAAGTTTAGACCTTAATGTAAATACAGTATAATCAAATAAATAAACATTTAATACATTTAATATAATATTCAGTTAAAATAAACTTTTAGTTTGTTGTATATATGTTATATATAAATAAATTGAAAAAATACAGGTACCCCACCGAATTTTCGGCGATTGATGGTCCGGCAGTTCCTTTAATCCGGACAAAATTACGAGAGAGAACTCGAGTATTAGTGGTGGTGTCAAACGTAACGAATACTAAATGTGAGTTTCTAGCAGTCCACGGTATATTTTAGACACGTGGAGGTGTATAATTAGTGGGTTAGAGGCGTGTTGATGCATTATTATTATACGGCAAGGAGTGCCGAAACCCTCGGCACTCCTCGTCGTACCGGAAATTCGGCGGTGTACCTGTTTATCTAAACAATTATATTATTAAGAACTTTGTATCTTATTGGTTATAACACTTGTGTGAAATTTTTATTTTCACAATAAATATTAGTTGTATTAATTTTGGTAATTAATCGTTAATATTAAAAAATGATTACCTAAAATGGCTAAAGTAATAACTGCAATTATCAGAGCAAATGCTAAGACCAGAAGAACGATGACGGCTATACATAACTTTTTCTCTCTCGTCGTCCTTTTTAACCCGCTGTATAAATTATATCCTTGTTTAGTGCATATAGAATCATTTACACGTATATAGCGTAATAATGAATTTACTCACACGGCATCGGTTCCGTCACTTTCAACTTCACGCTTCGGATTCCAACTCGAACTCATTACAGTTTATGTAAAAATTACCTGAAATATAATTATTATTACCCAAAATTTAATTGTCTTATTTGAACAATTTTTCAAAAATAGTTCCATTGATTCGTATTACACGTTTTGTTATAATAGTTTGCTGGACACTAAAATTATCTTAACCTTCCACCGCTCGAAACGATCCTCGTCGATCAATTCATTTCTTCCGATTTAAAGTTTAAATAAAAGTTAACTTAGATGTGTTCGGTCGTTCATCGACTCTCGTCCCTTCAACATCGATTATTGTACTGTACAATTTGAAGTTGAAGCGGGTAAATGCGCTCAACAACTCGGAATATACAGGATGACTTTTTTTCATAATTTTGATATCTTCGGAATGAAAGATATCGAGATCAACGAACTCGCAGAATCGTCGTTGACGTCGCGCATTTCGTCGACCATTCATATAGAATAGCACTAATATGTATTAGTTTACTTGTCTATGTTAGAAATTTGCCATTAAATTACGATTATGCATTGGCCTCCGGTTACCGAAAATGCGAATCGAACAGAATATCGATCGACGTTATTTTAAAGAAAATGCATTTTTTACGGTAATTAACAAACCTTTTCGCCTAAAAATTAATTGACGATAAATTTAGATGAAAATTGGATTCGTTTCGGTTATCAAAATGCATAAACGTTGACGAAATACAGTAGCCTAAACTGTATAAGATGGAAATAGTTCACTGTTGGCGGGTATATCGACAAGAATCTTGTACAACAAAATTCATTATTTCCATCGACAAAAGAATTGCAAATAGTTTTCCATTTTTTTCAGGAATTTCGGGCAAAACAATTTTGAAATTTGGGCGAAATTTGGAGTCGTATCGAATCTTGGCGATTCCCGATAAGTTCCGAACGGATGAAAATCCTACGCTGGAAGTAAACTCTCACTTACAGTTTCTACTAGTTTTCACTAATCCTAATACTTAGTAAATTCAAATCGTTCATTATAAAGGAATTTCTGCTTAAATTGTTAATTAAATAACTAAATTCCAGTTGTGCGTATATCTAGTCTATCTTAATTAAGATATTCGTACGAGATAAAATAGTATGTAATATAGTGTATTTAAATAAGTTCTCGGTAGTTATACGTATTGATATATTTAATATCTATGTACAGTCAAACCTGCGAATTGAAGGAAACGTAAAAAATGGCCGCTGTTTAGAGAGACCGTTATTGGAGAGGTTCGACTCTACGTACCTATAATTGTAATTACATTAGAAATTTATATTGGCTTCCGTTATAATAAAGCAATACCTAAACCTCCGAACATTTAAAAATACTTTATAAATTCGAGAAGGGTTCTTACCCGCTTCCTGTTGCGTCGAGCATTGACCAACGACGTATAAATCGTACGGACAGAAATGTGCTAGGCGATATAAAACTTTTTATAACCAAACTGTTTCGTCACCTTATACTTTTTATCGGTTTTTGCCTTATCATCCGATCGTATCCGATGCCCAATATAAACATAAATTAAATATTCCTTCCGATTTAGATATATTTAAGTGTGTACGAGTAGATTAATTTAGGAATTCCGCTTCGTATTTTGTACTTAACGAATGAGTTTCTTTCCATTTAACTGTAAAACGCATCTGGAAATAATTACTCCATTAAACAGTGTCACCGGATCGTGTGACGGCTAATTACATAAGCAGAAATAACTTTCGCACTACGATATTAAAGACGAATCGTCCTTGGTATGGTCTTTAATTGTAACTTAACTCTTACGTTACGTAGACTTTATATTTTTTTTTTAGTACAGTAAATACACCGCTTACTATTTTAAAATAACTAATTTATCAATTCACGCGTTACTCGTTGTAATCGTGGGCCTCGTGTCCTTTACCTTTGTAAATAAATAAAAAAGATATAGGGAAAAGATTTGAACGTGACAAACGCGCTTCTAAATATTGTATACGCGTGTATATAAGTTCTCTCTTCATCCATAGTGATGCGATGGTGAATGTAAGTTTACGAGTTCTAATTAGGGTCCCCCTAATATATTTAGATATTCGGTTGTTTTGTTGACATTTATTATTTACACGTGTTTGTAAGCTACGCATTTAGCTTTTTTTTCTGTTTATTTTTGCATTTTATTCTTGTTACGCGGTGTTTTTGTCTTTATTTATTTAATTTTCTTTGCCATAGTTTGCGTTACCGATTTACTAAGAGGAAGATTTTAATTAATAAAGTGTCGATGTAACAAAAGTTCGTTGACTGTTCGATTTCGAAACGTATTTTTGTCACCAGACCGAGATTTATTTTGTATTTCTATTAATTTATAATGATGTAATAGAAGGACGTAATCGATGACGCTATTACTGTACGTTCGCTTCTCGCTTTCGAAACCTTCGCAGTATCGTAACTAGCTTTTAAAGTGCCCTATACAAGACTTTATTTTTGGCTTCCTTTTTTGTGAAAAAATAAAAAAAAATACAATGGAAATGATCGGTTATTTTTAACTTTAACTAGAAACGTTATGGAATCGGCTCCACGGCCGAACGATTTAAAATTTGAAAGTAAAAATATAATACGGATCGTTTTTTGATATCCCACTTTAAGTCTCCTTCCCTTTGTCCCGCTTAGTTACGGCACTGTCTTCACCGATCGAAATTTGTGGCGCGAGATCTTAGAAATGCTCTCGAGAAAATGCTAGAAATATAGTTGTGTCCATAAATATTAAGAAAAATACTTTCGTATATTTATAGATGTTTTGGGTGATAATGAGAGACAGTGTGAGATAAGCGGAGGGACGATACCTAACGACCGCTTACACTGCGCAGGTTGTTAAAACCCAATCTCTGCGTCGGTGGATGGCTTAGGAGGGCAAAAAGTGGGTGGGGAGGTCGCGAGCGCGTGGACGGGTGTCTTCACGGAAAAAGGATCGACGGGTCGACAGGTTAACAAACGGACCATTTATTGATTAACTAAAGTTAACGTACAAAACTCGGTTACGAGTCTATCTGACTAAACGCTACTCGATTAAATGCTACTCGGGGAGAGAGTTCACAAAGTTCTAACAAATACCTCTATATATAATATTGAAGGGGATGGCGGTCGTATGTCTTCTCCGACGGGATTCCGTTCCCGAACACGGAGATCGACGACACAAGTACAGAAAATAACTTCCTCGGGCCGATCCGCCCTATGTTTCCGGTAGCGCGAGCTTTTATAGCGTTAGTGTGAGAAAGCCGTCCGTTTGTTGACGATGACTCGCATTTCCTGGCAGCTAAGTGTCAACTTTCCCACCTAACCATTGATAGTTGGAGGAGACCTCTGCTCCGATACTCCGCGAGAAGTTTTTTCTATGGGAGTGTTTACAAAACTCGATCGACGAAAAAAAGGAAAGTTTCCTTTCATTTACAAAATTCCCGCAATATGCCGGAAGTGGTTAAATCCGTAGTGTGTGTTTTTTCGGATTGCATTTTTCAGAAAGCTTTTAGCCTGTTGTAACGTCCAAAAATAATCATTTTGATATGATATTTTAGATATATCAATTTTATATGGAGTCCCGGAACATCCGTATATATACAAACATCCGTGGATCTTGTTCTCGGTGCTTATTGTCACATTTGATTTACATTCGAAAGATCTCAATTATAATTTTTATGAAAATTTATTAATGGATAACCTTATAACATAATAAACAACTTCGTTGCATTTACAAAAATCTTTCTAATTTTGCAGATTAAATCGGAACTTAACGGAAAAACTGAGATTTGATTTTCTAGAACGTAGAGAACAAAAGTAGAACCATAGCGTTAATATGCTTTAATTTAAATGGATTCTACAAACGTAAGAATTTTACATTAAAAAAATAAAAGCTGTAAATGGGAGCATAAATAATCAAAGCGGTTTTCATTAGGAGAAGCTAGTACTGAAAATTATCTCCAGGACGAATTCTTTAGTGTAGAAACTAACGTTTAAACGAAACACGTTGCATACATTTACTCCATAAAATTCGATTTAATTTGAAAAGACAGTAAAAAAAAAAGTACAATAGTTAATAATGAGGTATTTATTTCACATCACTGTTTAATTGAATAGCCGCATATAAAACAAACATTCTGTTCCAAAACGGGCAAACTTCATTTCCGGTACAAAATAAAATGTCCACGGGTGCGTGATTAAACAAAACACGTGCAGATTTCAACTGTACAACTTAACCAAAACTTTATTTTATATAAACATTTGGCAATTTATCATTATTTAAACACAAACTAGTTTCGATTTTATGTACAAAATCTCAATATAAATATATATAATATAGTGATTCAATTTTTTACATTCGAGTGTCCATAAATATAGCTTGACATTGGATGTTAAAAATTATAAAAATGTTGTTAGAACAAAGAAAAGAAGAAAAATTCCAACAATTACATCGTCGATTAAAACAAACAGTCCATCACTGGATTAATTTTTAAAATTTCCGATACAGATATGGCCAGTAATCGTGCTAAAATTTAATTATCATCCTGATATTTTTCCATTCCGTCTATTCTGTAGCATTAATTAACTAGATTTAAATAAGATTCTCTCTATAATAACTTAAGACGTTAAAACATTCTATTTGTAGATCTATTACTAAATTTTGAATACTTTTCTTCCGAGAAAACATATTCAGAATGGACTAAGGAGGAAATTTTTAATTTTCGTCCAAGAAGAACATAAGCCAGTGTAAGTTCAAACATTTACAGTCCAAGTCGATTTAAAAAAGAACATATAAATTGTTTCCGGTAGATTTTGATAAATTCACGATTTTAAATCGTAGGAAACTGTAACTTTTTCCTGCAGCGACACCCTTCTCTTGATACTGTCTTTAGAAGGTTTGAGGATGCTGCCTAATTTCCATCTGACGTCGGGAGGAACCGCGGTGTCTCTTTCTTCGTCCTTCTCCTCTTCTCCGAAAACGGTCTCGTTGATGCCCAGACTGTTCAGGCTGACGGAACTGTTGGAGAAGATGGGGTTCGGCTGCATGTCCGTCCGCATGATCTCGGCCTGCGCCGCGATGTCCGCCAGACTCGAAGATATACTCTGATTGGCCGAATGGGGAGTGCTCTTGGTTTGCGATACCGCCCGCCGTAAATCTTCCACGCTGAAACGTTTGTACAAACGTTAATTACTTGAAAATTTCTTTTATCGATAAAACGAAATGAAGTTTATAAATTTCCTTACCTGTGATGACGACTAGAGGGAAGACTGTTGCATTGCCTGGGCGGCGGAATCTTGTCTTTTTGAGCCTGTCGATGCTTTTCTATTAAGTCACACGCCTTTCCCAGAAGCACGATATTGTTCAGAACTTTAGAACTGACCAAACTGAAAGAAAAAATTGATTATAATTTTAATATTTAAACCGGACAAAAATGCAATATCCCAACTTAAGATTAGAAATGTAGCATTCTAATAATTAATTTATAACACATTTAAGCAAAATTGTGAGGGAATGATCGAGGTTGAATCTAATATAATCGGTTTTAATCAACATTGGTGACAACTCTGGATCTAGTTCTATACGTTAGGTTTTTGGGTGTTCTTATTTGTAATATCTCCTCTATGAGCACGTTTTGATACAGATAAGTTGTCTATATATTTAAAAAAAAAATCGATATTAAATTATTCTCCGAGGACAAATATTTAGCGATTAGGCTAGAACAGTGTGAAACTTTGCATCCTATCGTAATATTTATACACAGTTTCTAGTAATAGAAAACACTTAATATTTAAAACTGAAAAATCATATTTAACTAAAATTGCAAGTGCTTTTGGATTATTATTATTTTGGGTTGAAAAATTCAAATTAGCTGAGAATCGTGTATATTTTATAATTTAAAAATTTATATACAAGGTGCTTAGTAAAATGTTAACAAGTTTCTTCCATATTAGTGTTGGCAAGTTGTCTTTTGCATAGTTCTCAAAAAAGTATGGCTCTTCTACCCTTGTCATAGAGACTGAGTATCTTTACATATAAATGTTAACTATTACTTTGTTTTTTCTGTTTTTTTTTTTTTAAACACTCCTAACTTAGAAGTATATACAATCACAGCAATAACTGAATGTTAATTGAAAAGTAAAAATCAATATATTTATTTGAAATCTATATAAGATTTTATTTGCTCTTACCACAGATACAGGACGAAAAGCGATACGATTCCGATGGTTCCGGATATTGTCACGGAGCCGTTTACCACTCGGAACACCAAAGCACCTAGAGGCAGGGGAATGAAGCCCATCCTCCTCGATAATAAATCCAGATGATCCGAAAAAGCCTAAAAATCAGTTAACACAAATTGAAAAGGTTTTATTTTCTTTTATACTAAACAATTGCTAATGTAAATAACGTAAAATACCAGTTCTGGATTTTGTTGCATAGTCAGTGTGAGTAATCTATTAAAATTCCAGTTTTAATTAAACAATACATTATAAAATAAAAATATTTGAAAAACAGTTATTTAAAGTTAATTAAAATTATTTTAAATTCTCTAGTTCTGGAGTGATACATTGTTTTCTGGTATAAATTTTGAAACAAATACGATTTTAATTACTCTATTTGTTAAAATTTCTCCCTCATCTGTAATTCAGTGCCTTCCTCAGCTTAGTTCTAAGCAATCACTTCTTAAGTAATTTTAAAACGTCTTAATCCTATGCAACAAAGTCTAGAATTAAAAAATAGTAAAGCTTTTGCTGAATAACTATTACAAGTACTTACATTGAAGTTTCTACCAATAAAATTAATAAAATGCTACAATGCATAACATTTTGATTTTAATTTTAAAATACTTGATGTATTAAACTTACATTTTTTAATTTACTGCTTGCTAAATCATAGGCCAAGCTGATAGTATAATCTCTATATACCTAGAACATAAAAATTATGAATGAATTAGAAATATTAAAATTATTGAAAATTTCAATAGAAAGATGTCCTTTATTATAATCAAATGCAGTAATGATGATCTTTCTGTGGGTTTATCATTTGATCCATTTCAAACTTTACTTGACAGAATAAATAATAATAAAAGGTACCACTAAAAATTTTAATCCAAGCTATAATATGGCTAATTGATTATAAAGGTAAATAGTGCATAGCATAATTGGATCCAGATTAATTAATTTAAAATATTTAAAGAATTGATCAATTTGTTTCTAATTATAAAATTAAAAATAATAGGTAACTTAATTTGCCTATCTTTAGTCCAAATTATATAATATCTTTATAATTAATTACACCAATTAAAATCTGATGGTATTGTTTGTTTATCCCTATTTTTATTTTCAGAAATGATTAGTATTAAGATTCAACTTATAAAAAATTGTGTAGAATATAAATATAACAAAATATCTTTTATTCAAATTATAATAATGTTCTGTATAGACATCAAAGTAGTCTTTCTAAAATGTGATACTTTCAAGAGAAATGAAACTCAGACTGTAATTTGAATATTTTCTCTATTATTTATATGCAAACTTAAAGACATATCTATTGATTGAATTTTACAAACAAACATAGGTATTTGCCATAGATGATCATCATCATTTAAGATAAAACATAGTTATAATAGCTATGAAATTTATAATAACCATGTTTTAGTATTTGCTCTCATGCATAATGGAATAAGTAGAACAATATCAAAACTAAAAAGTTTTATTCAAAAAGTTATTTACATTACAATTCAAATTTTTTTTTTTACATTGATGCGAGTATTCAAATTATCAATTTAGACGTGACTTAATTTTATTTACTTGATAGACTAAAATTTGTGCATCAAACAAAAAAGTACACAAAGAACACCCATCAACTTTGATAAATGATTTTTAAGGTAAAGAAAATAAGTCAAAATCAGAAACCACCATATGATAATTTGGTATAAAAGATGATTCACAGATGCATAAGAGAAAAGTATGGCGAGCATCTAATCGTCATATACTTTTAAATGTTTCATCATTCATCAACAAACTTCTTGGGAAACTGAAGTAATAACTCAGTGTTCTATCAGAATACATTACTTTCAGTAAGTAAATAACTTTTGTAAACTCTCTTTCTCTCTCACATTGTATCATTAGTAAAAATCTGTTATTAAGCATGGAATATAAGTATAAATAAAATTTAAATCACCAAGTCATCTTTGTTAGGAATGTGGCTGTTATGTGTGAAAATGTTTATCTCCTGGTCCTCTGACAGGTATAGTGTGACATACGAGGGCACTGTTTGTTTGTTCTAGTTGACAATGACCCTCTAAGTTGTTACTACTTATGTAACATGTGTGTTCCTTATGTAACACGTGTGTCCCTTATGTAACACGTGTGTCCCTTATGTAACACGTGTGTCCCCCTGTAAGTGTTGTGCGTCTGTAGTCTTCATGGGGTAAAGACGTGTAGAAGTTTCGTCCGTCTCCCGCATATATCCTTGCTGGCTCAATATATCCGACTTAACGAACAAATATTACAAACAAAAGGTTATGGGCCCAGAAATGTCTTCCAAATAACCAAGGACAGTAATAGATTTTTTTGTTCAATTTGGTACTGGATTTATCTGAGATTTGGTGGGATCCGATAAACAACATGCGAGATGGAGAATCTACATGGAGATATGTTCACAAAGGAAGGTTTCGTCAACTTTCAAAAACTGGATGGTTCATCCAATTTATCATCGTGGCAATTCAACGTAAAAATGCTGTTGATGAAGGAAGATCTGTGGGCAGCGATCGAGACGCCAGTAACAGATCGAGAACCTACGGCAAAGGAAAAAAGTTGTGATCGAAGGGCATTAGGAACAATAGCCCTGACAGTTGGGGACCATGTTAAAGTCGATATCCAACACTGTCAAGTGCAAAGGAAGCATGGGATACAATAGCAAATCTCTACGAAGATAAGAGTATTCTGAGAAGGCTGCAAATAAAAAGGGAACTTTACTCCATGGATTTTAACACATGTTCAGGTATGACTGCTTATATTAACAAAATACAAACTCTCATTGACCAGTTGAGGAAAATCGGTTGTGTAATCGATGATCAGGAGCATGCCGAACTATTATTAATGCATTTACCGGAGGAATACAATAGTTTAGTGACCAATCTAGCGATAGCCGCAGACATAAAATTAACCTCAGTTGCAGTTAAATCTAAACTGCAGCAACAGGCTGCCAGAAAAAATGAATGTACTAGTACTAATGAGTCAAAAGTATTTAGTGCAACAAGAAATCGTTTCGATAGAAGAAACACTGGTATCAAACAAAAGTATGACGATACAAAAATCTTTAATGGAAAATGCTACAAATATGGACATAAGGCATCGCAATGTTACAGTGAAACAAATCCGAACGAGAAAAATCGGATAGTGTTATGTTCAATTAAAAACAAAAGTGTTGACACACATAACTCTGATTGGATTATAGACAGTGGCAGCGCTCATCATTTAAGTTATGCTCGTGAGCTTTTCGTAAAGTTCAGACCAGCCAATCACGTGATATATGTGGCAAACGATTCAACTTTAAAAGTCGCAGGTNGAGATGAGTTTATAATTAAAAAATATGTATATAATCAGAGTTTCATTTATTGGAGTTTTAATCTCTTTAAATTCGCCCTTAATTAAAGAAGACCAGAGTACGGTCAAAAATGTTCGTTTTCTATTAAAGGTGTCAATACTGGGCTTTTAATGTTTACGAGAGTTAATTGTTTGCATTCCAGTATTTATGTAAGAAGTTATTTATCCCTTAATTATAGTTTATCAGTAAATAAATATTATTTCAAAGAAATAAAGGAATTTGAATTACTATACAGTTTATATTAAACTCTAAGTTCAATGAGTTTGTTTCATCATACAGTATAAATTTCATTTGAAGAAAGACCATTTATTATTATTATTATTACTGCTACTGTACAATTTGAGTTAAATTCTCATATATCTTTTACTTTCAGCTAATTTTGGTAACTAAATTTCTTAATTTTATAAATTTCATGTTAACTATTTGATAAAATGGATGAAATAATTGAATATAATCATGATATATCATCAAAAAAAGGAAGACAAGACAATATTTGGTATATCAATGAACATTCTATATGGCCAGTAAAAAATATTTGTGTGAGTATAAAATCTTTTCATCATTTTCTTATTAAATATAAAATAACATTAATCCTAATTTTCATTTATATAAAATTACAGAATGCAATGCTAATAGATTTTGAAAGCATTTCAAGTTAAAGATTGTGAAATTATTTATCAACAGTTGGCTATAAAAACATTACACAGTCCTATAGAAGCTGTAATAGACATTTATATAGATTCTGTTAAAAAGTATCAATTATTGGTGAAAGATCCATGGCAAGTTGATTTTGATTTTACTACCTAAAAAATTCATGGATTAAATTTTATAGATGAAAAATAATTGGATATAACTGGCTGGATTGAACATAAATTATTTCACAATGTATAAGTTTTGTAAATTACTCATAATAAATTATTTTTATTTAAAGGTGAACAGATAGAAAAATTCTTTTTAAAAAATGGAACTACAATTATTTAGACACCGAAGTTCTTGGGTGTCCAAGATCAGATATTTAAAAAATTGTTATCATCACAAACATTTTAAAAAGCATTGTTCTCTTTGCTATATTCTTAATTGAACAAAAAATACTTATTTTCAAAAACAATACATTAAATAATTATTTATTAAATACCTATAAAATTTATATTTGTTACTTATTATATTTAACTATTTCATACATTTTTAACTTGTAATTAAAACCTATTATAAATATAATTATATATTTATATTTTTTTAAATTTTTTGCATTTTTATTTTACACAAATAAATTTATTTATTTTTTCACAAATTTTAGCTAAAATATATATTAAACATTGAGACTACAGTAGAACCTCGATTATCCGGACTAATTGGGGATGAAGGTAGTCCGGATAAGGAAAAATCCGGATAATCGAAACAGATACTTTAATTTGCCTTTTAATGATAATACAACACGTTTTCTTTTCGATGAAATATCGGTAATATTAAAAGTAAATACCGTATTTAAATCGTGATCAAATTTTCAAGAAACAAACGTTCGTATTGAATTTAGACTACTACTGACCAGCGCTAACAGACTACCTATTGTTTAAAAGGCCCTCTGGTGGCGCAAGAAGACGGATTTTATAAAATAAAAAGCAGTTGAAACTGCATTTTTATGAATAAAAATTTGACAAACTATTTATCGTTTTATGACGAGTAAAATTTTTTCGTCGCGTTCGCGGCTTTTAAGTAATGCATAAACCTTCGAGGCGCGAGGCCCTTCGGACCGCGAGGCATAGGCGGTGGCCCACGTCGTCCATGCCTTACGCCGCCCTTGGTCATAGAAATGATGTAATTTGAATATAAATTATTTATAAATACGTATGTCAAGTTATATTTTTATTACTACGTAAAATATATTTAAGAGTTTACGACCACTGTGCCGGGTGAGACGTTGTTGAAACAAAAAATGTTATGCATTCCATCACGTACATAAACAGTGTCGTAATTCGCCAAGTGCAAATCAGCAAATTCGTAAAATTTTTGTTTATTTTGAACAATCCGGATAATCGAAAATCCGGATAATGGAGGTTCTACTGTATTTACAAATGATAACTTCTGATGTTTTGAAATAATTTTCCAACAATGTCATTATTGATTCATTTAACTTTGGATATTCACTAATTGATTGCATATTTAATTTATGTGTATAGGCTAAAATAAATTGTTCATTTAGTATTTGTTAGCAATAAAATCCCAATGTAAATACTTATTAAATTCATATATAAAAGCAATGGATAATCATTGATATTTACTAACTATAGTGATAATATTATTCTTCCAAAATATTTTAGTTAATAAAAATCAAGTATTACAACTTTAGCAGATATATATTAATAATTCTCAACCACACCTCCTCAATATCTTTGAATTTAAGTATAAATAAGGAGTAATTTTTTCATCAGAATCAAGAAGTTTCAACAATTAGCAAACCTCAACATTCAATAAGATGAATTGTAAGTATATTTTTCATATACATCTATATCCAATTGATATATTTTAAAAAATTTAATTCCAGCTTCCCAAAAATTCTCAAGTGGTAAGTATTAAAATAAATTTTAATAAACAGTTTTCTTTGTATATATTTAATTGATATTTTAATATAGATTAAATTTCAACTCTCAAAAATGTTTGAAGGGTTAGTGTTAATAAATTTGATAATTAAACAGAATATATTAAACTTTGCCTTATTGTTAAAATATTATTTCAAATTGTTATGTTTTAATTTACTCGACAAATTTTTATTTTAAAATATTATTACAAATTAGCACAACTTAATAATTAAATGAAATATAATAATTAATTAAAATAAGTTTAATATAAAATTAAGATTTGTGATCAGTATGTGTCAAACCACTACTACTAATGTTATAACAATAATTTTTGAGTGAAAAATGGATAACAAAAGTAATGATAGAAGATATTTATTATGATGCAAAAATAGCTCTAGTAGTACAAATAATGACTAGAAATTGTCATTATTTTATGATGATAAACCATTATGGCCCAATTCTAACAATGAAGACAAATTAGAATTTTTCCTTTTTTTTCTTTTTTGCTGTGGAGTTGTAAAATCTACTGACTCCAACCAGTACAGACTTGTTACCAGAATAGGCCTGGGAATTCTGATTTAATCATGTGACCTCAGAATAAAAGCTTCAATAAATAGAGTTCTAATAAAGATAGAACATAGAAACTTTTTATTCCAAAGCTAAAAGACTAAAGAAAAGTCTTTTAGCTAAGTAATAATGTAGTCAATATATAAATATGTATTATATATATATAACAGCTATAAAAGTAAAAATTAACAGAGGGAAAGTGTAGCGATCAGTCAAAAAAATGATCCTCTCCCAAATTTTTATATTTTTGGACTCAGGACAACTTGAAATGTTGCAATATGAAAAAGATTTGGAGGTTTTTTCCTGTATGTATGGATGTTTGAATGTGTGTGGGGGGCACGATTTGTTCACCCTGTTTGAAGCTTAATAGAGAGGTTGAGGCACACGTTTTAAACGTGTACGTGTGACATTCGGCGCCGCTTTCCCGTAAGCCTAAAAGTTTGACAATGGTGTTTGGATAGTCGGTGTAATCATGCTCGACATTCCAAACACCATCGTCAAACTTTTAGGCTTACGGGAAAGCAGCGCCGAACGTCACACGTACACGTTTAAAACGTGCGCCTCAACCTCTCTAATAACTTCTGTTGTTTTTGAATCAGAGTCATATGGTTTAACACGGGTTATTATCCTGTAAAGACTTTAGAAATGTTAATTTTCTTGTATTCCAATATCTATACTATTACTTTTTTGTACTCCAATATAAAGTGGAAGTTGTATGTGACATAAAAAGTGATTTCCAAGACAAAACCATAATAACCCAAACTAGATTTGCCTTGACAAAAATATTTGTGATCTAATTTCAAATGGAAACTTAATACTGCCATATTGTATTTCCATTAGTACTATATAAATATTATCTTTCTCAGATTCTGATAAAACATCATTGCAACAAGAACTTTTACAAGAGCATCTGATGTTAAGTTTAGAAATGCTTAAACAAAAAATTAAAAAATTCATTATAAAATCAATTAAAATTGACAAATTATACTAACTGGAATACAGATGAACATTTATGATATGTGATTTTTTCAAATGACAGAATATCTACTTACTTCATAGGATATTTCATTAAATCTTGTTATAAAAGCATGCTTAATCCAATCAACTAGCACTTCTGCAATCAGTACTAACACACAATCTGGCAGCAACACCCAAAACTGTTCTAAAGAAAAGAAATAAATAAAATTTTGCATTATTGAAAGATTTTGATTAAAAAACTCATATAGACAGTTCTGTTTTAAAATTAGGAAAAATTTATCTCTACAAACCTGCAATATTTTTATAACAGAATCTGTGACAGTTCGAAAATATCTTTGTTACAAACTTTAAGCAAAAATCAATTCTAAAAAAATATTTTATGCAACAAAAGTTGCAAGAATAATTAAATGCTTAAAGTTCCTAAGGATAAAAATAAAAACTGGCTGTGGCACATTATTAAAATGAACAGTAATACAGTGTACTTCTGAGAAGCTTTTCCATTATTTATAGTCAAAATTTGTCATCATTCCAGTGTAACACAATCATCCTATTCATAATAAGATTGAAGTATTATATTATAAAATACCTGTTTTACCTATGAATCATATTGGTGTTTAGCTTATTTTCTAATACGAAAGAGAAGGAATGTATCATTACCATTAAATAAAGAAACAACTGATAAGAAAACAAGTAGAATAAGGCAAAATAAAAGTTTTACAACTTCATTAATTTGTAGAAGCTTCTATATGAAATTTTTGTGTGTAGATAAAATTGATTAAATTTTACAGTACAAAGACACAATACAAAATAAAGAAAACAGATACTGGAATGTATGATCCCTTCAGTCATTGTGAGAAAATCAAAATTCCCATGCACCCTTGTAAGTAGAATATAAGATGAAATATTCAATACAATTCAACTGATATTTATGAGAAAATATTCTTTTTTTTTTTTTTTTGAAATACATAAATACATAAATAAGAAAATATTCTCTTTTATTTTTATTTTGGTTTAATGCTTAGAAATGTATGAATTTTGTATCCTCTCTATTTTGTGATCTGAAATCAGCAAAGGAACTAAAGATCCTATAATGCAATCCTTGTTTGACAACAAGTATTATCAATTTGAAAAAAATAATTCAAAATGGCTACATTTCTCAAATCACTGAGTGAACAAATAATCATTGCCTTTGACTCCATGTTATAATTAGCTATTCTAAGCAATTTTAGTACTATTCAATACGATAGCTTTTTACAATATTTTACAATCTATAAGACTAATAACTATTAATATTTGAATAATTATACATAAAAACATCTGTTGCAAAAATAAAAAAATTATTAACTGTATATGTTGATATTCCAAAAACCTTTCATTCTAATCAACAATACTAGAATAAAACATCAAATAATTAAAAGCATAAAAGAAAAATGAATATCAATCTATACTGACATACACTAGAGCTATGTATAGTATTAATTCATTTAATATCTATACCAGCATTTCTCAATCTTCTTGCTCACGTAACCCAATATATTTGTTTCTACTGATTCCACAAGCCAAATGTTTACTAAGTTTTTTAAAAAGTTTGTATTATAAAACTGGTTTTAAAATACAAAATTTTAAAAACTCTTCACTATATATTATATAACAAAATAAAATTATGCATTATTCATAATAACTTCTGTGTGTGAAATGTAACATTGAGAACATTTCTATTAATTAAGAAAGGCTCTGGCCAATTTCAATTTGTAACTAATAACTTACTACAATTTCAATTTTTATTATTGAAATTTAACTATTAAAAAATGTAAGACTGATGATTGTAAAGTAAATAGACTTTTTAAAACTTATTCAGGAGTCTATTCAATGGAGGATTATCATCACCCTTAAGTGAACGCTCCCACCAGCCTCTGGTTGTTGCATCCAATTTAAATTGAATAATGAACATAAATAATATGCTTGAAAACTTGTCTACATTAAAATTTAGAGCTTCTAAGGATCTAATACACTCTGTAGTCGATTAAACAAAATTGTAACACGTGTCAGGTGTGTTTGTTATCTAGCATTGATGTATTCAGTCCACAGCTCTGTCATATGTGTCAGATGTCTTATGTAACTGTAGATTTAAGAATGCGGGGTGAGATCTTTCTGCCTAGTGCTCAGTGCGTTTTACCTGTCAATGTGTCTGCCATGTTGTTTTGCCAGCGGATATTAGTAGCATTTGTGCCAGCAGACTGAGAGGTTGTTCTTGAAAAACTGCGCTTTTTATTACGTGAGTAGCATCTTTTATTGTTTTTTAGTTAATTTGTAATTAGTAGGTACTTCAATTTATTGCACTAATGTAATTTTTTTTCTCTTTAAAGATATTTAGCCTATGACAGACTATAGTGATTATGTCTCTATCTGAAGAAAGTTTTTTTTGTCAAACATAAAAAAGACGGAGATACATCAGTGTAGAGCCATTTTTTGGTCGCTAAAGATAGCACAACAGCACAGTGTAAATACTGCTCAGCTATATTAAAAACTTTAGAAGGGTCAACCAAAGGATTACATACTCATCTTTCAACTAAACATGACAAAAAAGTTATTACTGTAAGGCTGTCCTCATCAACTAACCAAAGTGGTGATGGCAAAGAATCACCACCGTTGAAGCGAAAACATAGCTCACTTAATGACTTTTTTGTTAAAACAAACTTTAAACGACGTTTTAGCCTGAATGACAGCCTTAGATGGCTTTTCTTTTAGTGTCTTCGTAACCTCAAAAGATTTGAGAGCGTTGTTATTATCAAAAGGGTATTCAGATTTACCAAAAGCTGCTTCAACAGTTCGTAACCATGTCATCAATTATAGCTACAGAATTAGAAAGCATATAAAAGCTGAATTAACTACTTTAAAAAATGAAGGCCAGCGCTTTAGTTTGAGTTTTGATGAATGAACATCGACTTCTAATAAAAGATACATGAACGCAAATATTCATTCAGAGAAAAAGTTTTGGAGTTTAGGCCTTATTCGTATTGATGTATCTTTGAAGGTGGAGACATGTGTTGATGTTTTAAAACAGCGCCTTTCTCAATTCGATATTTCACTGGATAGCAAAATCGTAGCAATCATAACCGATGGTCCAAGTGTCACGCTCAAAGTCGGAAAACTTGTCAATGCAGAGCACCAACTTTGTTTTGCTCATGGCATTCACTTAGCCGTTTGCAATTTACTTTATAAAAAAAGTATACCCTGTATACCAGATGCTTCTGAAAATGAGTGCACTGAGCTCCACAATGCTAACTCAGATGATGATGACAAAGATCCTGAATCAGGATTAGCCCTTGAAGAAAGAGAAAATTGCCCAGATTTGATGAATGACCAGAACATTGAATGACCAGAACATCAAGGATGTAATAGAACTACTTTGCAAATTTTTTTTATTTTCAAAAGAGCGTCATTAAAGAAGGATACCATTCTTCAAAATTATATGAAGATAGAGTATGGCAAAGAGCTAAGTTTACTGCTTGATTGCAAAACCAGATGGAACAGCCTCTACAGTATGCTTGAGCGTTTTGCTTTTTTGAAAGTTAGCGTCAGAAAGGCACTTATAGATATGAATAATACAGTGCAATTGGAAGAGTTCGATTTTGAACTCGTCGATGAAATCATTAAAGTCTTGGCTCCAGTAAAATTAACTGTAGAAGCACTCTGTCGCACCGATGCAAATTTATGCACAGCTGATGCTGCCCTTAAGTTTCTTTTTAAGCAGTTAAATGACAATAGCTCCGATTTGGCTTCTAAATTCAAGATACATTTACAAAAGCGCATGAAAGATCGCCAAAGAAATGAGTTAAGTGGCGTTTTATGCTACCTACAAAATCCTCATAGTGACAATTTGGCTGACAATGATGAAATAAAGTGTACATTTTCAAGTCCGAGCAAGATCCTGATAAAAAACCAGATTGTTTCATTAATTGAAAGATTAAATGCTAGAGGAAAAACGAAATATGCAAGTCGAGCCTACAAATACAGAAAAATGTGATTTGATGCTCAAAGAAAAGCTTCAGTTGGAAATAGAAAACAGCATGAAAATGATATCTCCTGAAGCATTAAATGAAAATGATTTTTCCAAAATTGTTAAGAAAGAAATGAACCTGTATGAGTCTTCAAATTCTACTCAGAGCTATAACCTAGAGCGGGCTTATAAGTATTTACTAACAATTCTTCCAACTTCCATTGAACCTTAATGCACTTTCTCAGCAGTTGCATATAGGTGCAACAAATTCAGAAGCAGACTTGGTGATGAGACACTGGACGTGTTGTTATTTCTCAGATCAAATTTTTGCAATTCAAATTAGAATGTTCCTATTAGATTAGCTTTCTTTATATTGAAGAAAAATGTAACTGATTAATATTATTTTAAAATACTTTTTGCTAAGAAACTTACTTTACTAGGTTATTACATGAAAGTAGTCTATTTAGTCAATGTTAAGAGATTTTTGTTAATTTTTAACGTTTATTTGCATAGTTTATTACATAAAGGTTTTTTCAATTTATGTAAATTTAAAGAGATCTCAGTGATGCTTGAAAAAGAATAACTTAAACATGAAGACTGAGTGATTTTAAGTCTGGTTAGTCTGACTCTAAGTCTGATTAGTTAGAGTGATTAGATTAGCTAGGTATATACTGTAAAATACATTGATTTTTGTCTAAATTTTAATTATGTTCATTTTTTCTAATTTTGATTTGTTGATTAAAGAGCTGATTTCTGTAAGATTTTTTAATTTTTTATTAACCCTCAATACCGAGATAANTCTCAGCAGCTGCTGAGAAAGCGCATTCAGGTTCGATAAGGTTAATAAGATGTTGTATTTTTTTTTATTAACCTTAGGTCCATAGGTTGCACTAAGGATGTTGTATTAGGAGGAAGAAATTCCAGCTGTATATTTTTGAGATTATCTATTTATATTTTTGATCTATCTATATTTTTGAGATTATGAGGATGTGCAGCACAATTATCAAGAAGCAACAAAATTTTCCTTTGCTTACATTGTAACTCTACATCTCAACTCGCAAGCCACTTCCGAAAAATTTCACAAGTTATCCATGCATTACTGTTGGCATGGTACTCTACTGGTAAACTCTCTATTCTTATCCCCTTAAAGCATCAAAACTTAGCACTTTTTCCTACAATTAGTAGTTTTCGTTTGTCGATAGTTGTCATATTTGCACAGCATAACACAGTAATGCAGTCCATTGCTCTCTTATACCCTGACATTGCAATGTGCTTATAAGATGGAGCCATCTGGCTTAGCAAGATAATAGAGGCCGGTTTCATCAGCATTGTAAATATCATCTGAACATAAATTCTCTAAAAAAGTAGGGATTTTAGTTTTTTGCCACTGTTCAGCACTTACGTTATCTGCACTGTGCTTTTTTGTATTTGATATTGTGTCTTGCTTTCCATCGAGACAACAAACCGTTAGTTGTTTTAAAATCATTGTGGCTTAGCTTTTTAGCAATCTCCTCTGATGCTGATATTTAAGCCTCATCCGCTAACCATAGAAAACCATCAATCTAATGCTTCTTCAACTTCTGGATCTTTTCCATGATGCTTTCTTTTGGATGTTCCTGGAATTTCTTTTTGTAATGCCCACTCCTCACACAGTTAATTTTCTTGTTGTAGGAGATACACAATGGTAGATTTTGGTACACCAGTTATATCAGCAAGTCTACAATGGCTTGTATTCAATGGCTTGCTTTTAATTTTATCCAGCAAAGCAATTTTACTTGAAAATGTAAAATCATTTCTTGGCATCTTGGCAAAGATTTAAGTGATGGAGACAGTCAGTGAAATGGATCCAAACTTGAATTTCCCACTTCTATGCCAGGATTATATAGTTGTCGTCAGCTGACAGCCGACCAATCAGCAGCTTTGCTGGTTATTGCTTTATTCTAAGTTTGCACATCGCATGATGTTTTTCACCAATGTCTCTTCCTTGAGATGCATGTGACACCCATTCAAATTTAACCAATTGTGTTTCTCAACGAATCTCTCCTCCGAAGTGTTCATTACCAGTTAAAATTGACCAATCATGTTCATTACATGATATCATCATTACACCAACAATGATCCAATCCAAAGCAGGGTCAGTAGCTCAAATTCAGGTCTGCCTTGGACAAGATCGTAGTGTGATACGTCCTGCTATGCTGACTCCCCTCTGGAAAGACTGAATTGCTCAAGCAAAAGACACAACTGCTTTGTCTCTGCTAATCGTTAGGCCTAAACAACAATAGTGTACATACTGCTGATATACAGTATTTTTGAAAGATCCATTGCTAAATTATTTTCCTTCTACTGTCCCAATTAACCAGTGGACCAATTAAGCAGAATCCACTGTACATAGTTTACAAAAATTATACAAAAATAAAAAGAATTCTTTGCTCGCGCATATAGGAGATCTAGGTTTCTGAAGTAGTGAAAAATGGATAAAAACCTCATCTTTTATGTGAGTAAATATGATATTTCTGATTTCTAAAACCTTAGAAGTGTTTTAATTTTGAGTGAACAGTTTTAGGATAAAAACATCTTGCTTGCAGATTGATGCAAATCAATTGGAATATTTCATCAAACAGTTGATTTTAAAAATTTAATGTATTTGGATAATGTGAAATAAAATAAAGATTATAGTAATTAATACCTTATTTACATTATATATCTCAAAAGTTTAACCATGATTATCTTGAAAATGTTCTACAATAAATGAAATATAATGCTGTTAGAAATGAAACATTTTATGAATAAACAATTTTTGCCTTCTTAACAAGATCCAGTTTAAAAATAATAACAGAGAAAATAAGCCTGTCCTGTATGAAGATAATAAAAGGAAGAACTTGGTTTAAAATACTTTGTACTGTAAAGGGATTACAGAACTTACATGTGAAGAATAACACTGTTGAAAGTAATGTGCATAACCCTAATGATGGGAACTGTCACTACCAATTGAATAAGCTATGAATCATTTAATTCAATAGTTAGTTTATACTTTAATTAGAGATCCCACACCAGCTTGCTTGCATTACGGATTTTGCCAATGTTCATATAATTATCAGTTGTAACCATTCCTTTTCGGACATTCTATTCAAATGTTGATAATGTGTTCAATCTAAATTTTCGAGCAAAACATTTATAGATCTATTATTATTTACAGATCTGACAATTTGTTGATGATAAAATTTGTAGATATGCAACCCAACTCCCACTTCATCCAATACAGACTATTCGTAACAAATATTTTTTAATGACTGACTAATTCCTAGTGCCACTGCTTGTTTATTTTTTTTTTAATGGGGAAAAGTGTTATATAAAATATTTGGCTTAGATTTGTCATATGTAGAGTAGATAGGAATAAAAATTATTAATATTTTGCATAATATATTTATACAAGTTGAATAGTATAATAAAAATCTGAATAATTAATTAATTATAAACCTACCTTCTTTCCAGTTATATTCCTTCATAGTCTGTATTATAACAATGAAGAGTAAAATCATATAATGAAATCGTTCTCTGACATCACTGCAAGACATGTGGAAGAGATTATTCTTTTCAAATTTTTTAAATACCATACTTTTCAATTCAACAAACTGAAAATTAATAATTGGAATAATAATTATTCAATTATTTATGTATTTAGTTATAACTATATTAAAACTTTAAATAACCAAATTTGATTTTACATCAAATTTGGTTATTTAAATTTTGTAAATAGTTTTTTACAAAATATATGCATTTAAATGATATTTACATAATTACTATTCTAAGTATGCAACTTAAGTTATATTCTAAGATATGGGACAATATTTCAATAGCTGAAATTATTTGACTTTGAATTAAGTTTGAAAATCAAAAATTTTTATGCCTTATGCTAATCAGGGAACATTAAATGGTATTTTGGCACTATATTAAGACTGTTTCTGCATTTTTAATTTATTAATAACTATCTATTAATGTTATGAAAATCTCAGCACCTACACATTATTAAACATTCAATAATGCAATAAAATAAACATTCCACCTTTAATTACAGTCAACTCCCGTATAACACTGTTGATAATTCCGTTTTATATGAATTCCATGTTGTACGAGTCACTTAGATTTTACAAATATGTGAGCCATTCACAGTTCGGCGCACACATTTGTAAAATCTAAGTGACAACATGGAATTCATATAAAACGGAATTATCAACAGTGTTATGGGGGGTTGACTGTAATTGATAAAAGCCATATAAAATTGTTTAAAAATTTACTGTAGTTTTTTACCTATTCTTTTTACTGTATACAATGAAAACATACATTTACTTCTAAAAACCAAAGATACTAGGTGACTGTTTCTTGTTGTTGCTCAAACATGGTTCTCTTTTCCACAAATGATATTTCTTCTGAGAAACACCCACATTTTCTTCTTTAGTTGAGGTTCTTGATCAGTCATATCATCTACAGTCTCTAATTATGTTGTAGAGCAAGTCAAAATTAAGTCTGTGTATATTTTGCCTTTGTTTAAAAGCTCTTTTAAGGGGATAAAAATCCCACGATACTGCATGGCATGTATTTTTACCAAAGTGATGCTTTTCACAATTATTTGACTTTAAGGATCAAAAATGTCAACAGAGATCAACAGTTATTGCACAATGCATTTCTAGCCTTTATAGAATGGTCAACCATCCATTCATTCACATCATCATTTGGAAATGTAAACTATACTGACATTTAAATTTCATTATAATATATGACAATTAAAAATTCCTTCGATATACTAGTTCATAAATAGTAAAATTATTTATTTGGTTTCAATTACAATAGGAAAAGTACTCCAATAATAGATTTCCTCCTCCTAATTAACAGTAAAATCCTAATGTAATACTAAAGAATAACATACCAAACAACACTCCAAGTACTCAACACACACTTGACAATACACAAAACACACAAAACAAGCACTTTACCACACATATATTACAATCAAAAATTGTCAAAGCAAACGCAATGTTAAGTACACAACACACATGCACATTACACACAGATGACACAAAACACTGTCACAATTCCTATTCAAAGGGCAAGCTAGCAGCTCTACATGGACTTTGTTAATACATGCACATACATACAACCTGGGCCTCAGTGCTCTCAGAGTGAAAGAGGTCCATGGGCTCTCTCAGAACTGAGGAAAAAAAACTGTAAAACCCTGATTAAATTACATAAAAAACAATGAATAAAATGCAAGTAAAATATACATAATTATAAAGAAAAGAAAAAAATTAAGAATTGTATATTATTTGTTTGCAGGCCATTTTGAAATGGTAATAATCAACCTGAAGTAAATGTTCAGAACTCCCTGTCTTTTGTGAAATGTGGTAAAATTATTACCTTTGAGGGAGAAAATCTAAAAAAGGGTGTATAGATGCTTGACATTTTGCCAGAAGCCTATAAAATTCTCTTGCAGCCTGCATTCAGAAAAGTTTGTTCATCACTAGTTTTCACAAACTAACTAGTATATAACTAATTTTTGTCAAACATTTACTTCAATGAAACAATTTCATCATTTGCTGTAAAATTATATTATGGTAACTGTACCAGTAATTGACATGGTAAGTCTGCTTTGATTTGATATATTGAGAAACATGTAAACATATAAACTTCCTCTATATGAAAAGTCAATATTGAAAGATAAACTTTTACTTCATGGTAGCTAATTTCAAAATTATTAAAAAAACAAATATTTATTTTTTTTGAAAAGATAATTCTTATATTAAGTGTTTTTAACTTAATTAGTTACTTATAATTTCTAATAAATTAAAATATCAGTATGTAAAAAGTAAATAATAACTACAGTTTTAAGTTTTTATAATTTTATTATTGTTNATGCTCATATGGCATTTCCAACTCTTTAATTAATTATTTTTTCTAATTAACATTTATATATTTTTTATCACCCCAAATTATTAAACTTAAAATGTTTTATTAAATTAAAGTAGTTTATCCAGTTATTAATCCACATCCATAAAGCTACACGGCTTTGATAAAACAAGCAGATATTTATTTATTATTCGTTAACAAATCCCATATAATCCACATACATAAGTATATATTTATTAAATTTATCCCTTAATAAATTTCCCAAACTTGACGAAATATTAATAAACTATAGAAAAATCAGAAACTGTTTTGTTATGCAATCAAAATTATTATAATGAAAAATGATATATAATTTTAATTTAAATGGTATTATATATCACTTTTGCAATTTGTTATTGTGTTTTTTAATCAGTTCACTAATACCCACTTTCAAATTGGTGCCTTCCAGCACCAAACACGTTAATTCTACGGCACACGTCGAACATCAAAGCCCAAAGTCGGCCGGAATCCATCCGTCCAAAACGATCCAAGTGAATAATTAATTTTAAAATATAACTTCTTAAGGAGAAGGTTTCATTTAATTATTTTAATTCAACACTATATAACTGGTCAATTCAGTTATTCTGTTTAACTTTTTGCTATTCAAGATGTCATCAAAAATAACTGCAATGTTTATTCTCATACACAAACAAGCATTATCATCAATAATGCAAATCTAGGATATATCTATCCCAGGAAGGTAACCAGAAATTTCTGAGTGTAAGTCACCCGCATTGTTGATGGTTTGCATAAACTTAGCATATGTAGGGGGGCTTCCAAGAAATGCAATAGCCCAAGATGACTACCAACACATTATTGTGCAAGATCAGTATGGCAACTCTTTGCATGTCATAAGCAAACAAAAGCAAATGATATTATAGTCAACAACTACAAATTTCTTTTTATATACGTTAGAACAGCTTAATATTACTATACATAAATATAAAAAATATTTTATATAAGTACATACATGTAATGTAACTTGTCTTATTCTGTAGAATAAAAGGTACTCAAAAAACAATGCTTAATTTTTCTGATTTAAGATATCTTTTTATAGATTGCTTTATATATATAATTTAACTATTTATAATGCTAAATATCAAAGTTCTCATATAAAATGCTAATTATTTCTAACAATAAATGAGACAAGTATAGATACACAATAGATACTCTTGTGAATCCAAACTAATTATTGCACAGTATTATTCAGGTTGGTAAAAAAATTATTAGCTGGGTTTTATATAAAAAGATGTCAAAAAGGATCATAAATAAATATATATATTTTAAAAAATTTTATACTGTATTTAGTACATATATTTATGTTTTTAACAAATGATTTATGATTGTTTTTGTTTTGGGCTGAAACATTTAGTGAAAAAAAACAAGATTAATTATTAAAATTTGAGTTAAGCAGAAATCAGATTAATGAAAGTGCATTATCTAGTCTTTAATCTTCATCAATTACAATCATCAATTAATGCAAATCATTTTTCAAATCCAATGTTAATAAACAACAGTAGTTAAAACTTAAATTTCAATAAATTATATTCCTTAATAGCATAAATAAAGTTTTTAAAGTTAGTATTTATTTTAATAAATAGAAATATACTTTGTAATCCAAATATGTATTTAAATATTCTGCATTTAATTTATACTAATTTCATTTAAATATTACAAGATTTAAGGACTAAACAAAAAACAAAGAGTTTTCCACATAGAGTCTTCTTTTCATGCATTCACTGCCATTAGAATACAATAGAATGAACAAATAAATAACTCTAAATAAAAAAAAATCTTCCTTCTTTGTGTTGTTTAGTCTTTAAATTTTGTAATATTTTAATATATATAATCATAGATTTTTCAAAAAGTTTTTAAAAATTATTTCTACAAGTAATTTATTTCATTTACTTAATGTAACTTTTAGCAAATATCTTTAGTAAACACATCTAATGTCACCATATTGTATTGATAGAACTACTGAAATAAGTTATTTTTTAAATGCCAAAATTTTTATTGCTGCATCAACAGAAATTTTGATTTATCATTGCTCAATTAGAATGGAAAACAATATCACAAATCACAAGAGCAATGAATAAAATTATACCTTAGTTCTTATTGTGCTATATTTTATTTTATTATATGATACTGTAAGCTACTATTTCATTATTGATTGACATTTTGCTTCTTTACCACTTGCATTATTATTATTATTTTTAAAAAGTTAAACAATCTTTGTTATACAAGAATTAGCAATTTCTAGTCTCATTTATACCAAATGTATTTTGTAGTTTTAAAAAAGGATACAGACATAGCAAACAGCCATTATTAGATGTGGCACTAATCCAATGTGTTCTCTCTTCCTTCCTCGAGGTTCTGTAGCTGTCCAGAATAGGGCATCCAGAATGTCTTGCCCGAAAGATGAGAACAGTTTATCTGCAATCTTACAAAATATAATTATTACATTATGATTTACCTACTTATATAAAATTACTAATTCAAAATTATTATTTAAATTTCAATAAACTGAGAATTAAATTTGTATTATTTTCAAAAAGTTTTGAATGTGCTAATTATAACACAAACATCTATAAGTTAAAATAATATGAGTTTAGAGTTTCATAAAAATCAACTTTTATGATTTAAATTGATAAATGATTACATAATGTACTTAATATAAAAAATCTTAATGTGATGGATTAAAATAATAAAATGCACAATAATGTGTAGAACTCTAGTTTGGTTTAATAAAAAAATTTAAAAATATTTTAAATGTATTTTATTTTATTTACTCTAATCCAGATTTTTCTAACAATAATATGATATTAATACTTAAAAGGGTCTCCCTATGCACTTTCAAGCAGTGTAGGAGGTGAATGATGAACATTTTCAACTACATTCATTATTCTGCTTCTGGTCCAACTAGAACTGCTTAACTTTGCAAATGCCTTAAGTGTCTGTAATGTTTTCAAATCTTTCAAATTATGGAACAACTACAGAATATTTGGTGCTTGGAAAAGTGCATATGTTAATCCTTTAAAGTATTGATTTAAGTTCCAGCTTTTGGAAATTGTATTTAATTTGGTATCAACTTGTCCACCTGTCACATGATGTAATTGAGATTAATCCAGTTTCATATAATGAACTTTTAATGATATGATTTCCAGAAAACATGTAGAATCTAGTTAAAAAAAAATTATAAATGGCTTAAGCTAGTCCTCAGGATGTATGTGAAATTGATAACATTAATATGTTATGGGCCAGATTTGTGAACATATCATTACTAAAAAGACATTTTATTTATGATGTTTGATGTTATAAAGATATTGTTATACTTTACAAATTTAACTTTGTTTTAATGCAAGTTATTCACAAAATATATCATTAATCTGTATCATTATTTTATGATACCTGCAAAGTTATTATTAATCATCATTTCAAGATGGTGCAAGAAATAGCTAATGGTCAGTAATGAAAATAAGCATTCATGCTTAATCAATTACTTAGCAATTCCTTAATGATGATAAAGATTTTAAAAAGTTATTAAATAATAATGATTTTTCAAAAAAGGTGATTAAATAAGATCACAATCACCTTTTTTGAAAAATCATTAATGTCTATATAAATATATAAATATCAACAACTTTGGTGATGTCTATATAAATATTTTCTAAGAGAGAGTGGACTATTCTAGTACATACTTGTGCTTATAAACTTAAAACTTTTTTACAGTGATGGTTTTCAATCCAATGTAGGAGGTAATGCTTTTATTTTTGAGTTTTTCAACAAATTAATAATGATCTAATCAAATTATATATTGTGTCAATATATTTTATGAATTTGATATTTCATTTAAATAAGCAAGTAATAATAAACAACAATAAAATCGGTTTATCTACGGTATAAATTACAAGTTTATTACAATAAAATCTCATTGTTTCAAAACAAGGGTCCAAAAAAATATAACTTTGAATTATCTGGATTTGAATTATTTGAAGTTTTCTTTCGGAATTAAAGATTTTTGTAATTTCAAATAAAATTATGACATTATCTTAAATAATTTCACCCATTCATTTACAAATGCATCAATATTACAAGTTATTACTTAGTAATTTAAGTTATTTTGAAAAAACTGTCACCTGGCATGTACTTAATGAAAACAATGAAAATGTAACCAAATTATATTCAAAGTAAGACCTGAAAATTAAGTACAAAAGAAGTTTTAGTGTTTCAATAAGAATTATCACAAATTTCATCTTGACTTTGAGATTACAAAAATCATGTGATCTGATGAAAATAAGCTGTATTAACAGCTAACAGCATATTTATAGCTGTTAGCTGTTAATATAGCTTATTTTCATCAGATCACATGATTGCACTATCATGAATACAGACATGTATTTAATGGACTTTGGAATTAGTGAATCAATAGACTTTTGCAAAACATGTCCAAAATAATTAAATATCAAAGAGATTTCTTCCATAAAAATAAAAAAATCTCTCTTCATTAACGTGTACAATGTCCTAATGACCTTGAACATACATTCAATAAATCAACAATGTATAATTGGTAAAACAGAAACTGCAACTTGGGAGTGGAAACTTTCTTATAAACATGTAACATGATGGAAGATTTCGAATTAAACATTATTATTGTGGATCACCAAACCAGAAAATGTCTTCGAATTTCTTTGTACTCATGTTTCAAATTATCTGAACTAAAATGTTGGCAAAATCCTATTCTCTTGGCAAGGGACTAGATTACATTGAATTGTGTGATACTTCAAATTATCCAATATTGAAATAACAAGGTTTTACTGTAAAAAATATTCTAATTGATATTTAATACCTAAACTAGGACAAAATAATTCTTATATTGACATAGCTGTCATTAAATCATTTGATGTTTTGCATGTTTAATACGAAAATATGTTTTTATATATTTTAGTTATGTAAGAAAAATCCAAAACTTATATTTACCTCTAACATATTAAAAAATATATATAATTTGATGACGGACTGACTTTTTACAATATGATATAACATGGACGTGTCAACATATGTCATGAGAAAACTGACTGTTATCAAAATTATTCCTCTCAATAAATCACAGATTTCTGCTGGTTGTAACACATTTTCTTTTTCATTACTGTCATTTCTTCGAAATAATGATCTGTATAAAGAAAAATAAAATCTGTTAAAAATATAAAAAGAAAATAAACAAGTAAAATGGCAAAGCCATTTTTGGGATGAGACTATGTCTCAGAGACTCAGGGCTTGTTCATATAATTGCTGACAACTGGGAACACAATGTTCACATTTCAAACTTCCCAACACATGCCAGTTGCTACTTGTTTGTAAGTTCCATCTGAGGGCAACAGATGGTGCTAATAGTTCTAAATTGCATTTGCACTTGTTTATTGTTTCAGTTTGCGAGCAACACATGCACAAATCTCGCACTCATGCCTGTTTGTAGAAACAGCCTCAGCATTTTGTATTTTATTTTGACCTGGTTCTTGGTCCTCTGACTACCTACAAGTCTGGTATATTTTATGTACATATGATTTGGGGCACCAAATACTCTCTGCCAAATTGCAACTCCTGACATGTACTCCTTCATAGCTCTAAGGTGTCCAGCCATTGACAGCAGTACGATTTTAGAGATGAGACATAGTCTTGTCAAATATGTAATAAAATTTTTTTTCCTAGGTTTGATTTACTGTATTGATTTTATACTGTATTTCTAGATCTATCATATTACATTAAATTGCATTTACATTAAATTATATTTAATGTAATGATAAAAACTGTTTAGTATAATTTTTAATAAGACATTTAATTTTTCTCAGAATTAATTATTTTTTAAATTTAAAACTACATTTTGTTTACAATATATTGTATTATTTCAATTTAAGAAATACTATAATTATTATCCAACTCTTTTCCTGGATAAAATTGTCTTTTTTTAATCAGAAGTAAGAACAGTTTTAAGAAGTTTATTAAAGAAAACTGAAGTACCATCTCTCCTCTTTACAATTACTTTTTAAGCAAGAAATGTTGGTCCAAGACATGTCCTCGTTTGAAACTTCATATGAACAATGAACATCACATAAATGTTCCTCTCTAAATTTCATGATTCTTACATTACAGAACATTAAAAACTAAGAAACTTTGTTTTTCTATTGACATAAATATGTTTTTAAAAAAGGTTAAATATCAATTAAAAAAGGCAGACAGTATATACACAATATATAAAATACAGAAGAAACTAAGACATCTTCCTTCACAGGGACAACCTTTTATTACAGGCTATGCCTCTGCAATAAGTTTTACAAGGTTCATTGATGATAAACCAACAATTGTAAAAAATATATACATACCTTCAATTAAAAAGGGAGATAGTATATTCATAATATATAACATACAGAAGAAACTTCTTAGTTTCTTCTGTATGTTATATATTATGTTTCTTCTAACTTCCTTTCCATTCTGTCCAATCAAAATCCGGTCTTTTTAAAACAGTTTTACATAATATTGCAGAGGCATAACCTTGACTGAATTGTTATCTCTGCAAAGGAAGACTTAGTTCCTAATAGTAATTGGACAGGATGGAAAGGAAGCAGTCTTCGTTTATTCTGTATATTATAAGGTTAAATATGTTATGTTTTTAAGGGATGAAAGTCAGCCTTCAAAGTTGGGTTTTTCAAACAGTAAGTTTTACAGAAACAGTTATCCAATTTTAATGAAATCAATTTGAAAACACTTCTTACAAAGAGTAATCAAAAAAATTTTTACTGATATCTAGAAACATTTTTATGGGACATNTCCTTCCTCTCTTCCTTGGCATGTTGTGAAATTTCTCATAGTTGGATAATAAACCGTTTTATTGTAATTTGTCTTTTTAAATTATTTTGAGTCGATATTAAAATTTGGAAAAGGGGATTCCTAGATCGGTAAAATACGCAAATTTCTTCCTACAACTTCGGTTGTTGTTCGGGGTACAGTTAAGGTTAACGAAGTTTGAGCGAATACATAATTAGCAAAAAAAAGTTGAAATAAAGTGATTAAACAAAAATTATTACAAATATCGTAAATAACAGTTTACAAATGCATATATAGATATTTTTTGAAGGGGGAAAATGGTCTTCATTTCCCCCCTTCAAAAAATTTGAAATCGATCGAACACAGTGCTTGAATGCTCGTGTAAACGTGCGCCATCTATCGTAGGATAAATGCCAGAAATCTTCGCAGGAGTGTATTAAAAAACTTCCCAAAGCTTCATGGCAATCGTACTACACCAGAAACCTTCACGGGAGTATATTAAACAACTTCTCAAAGTTTCACAGCAATCGGATAAACGGTGTGGTAATGCATGAACACATACATTCATACATACATTCATTTTTATATATATAGATTACTTAAAACTGCACATTAACAGAAAATAGATGATAAAAATTAAATTTCAAAAATAATTTTGATGTCATTGAATACTGGCAGAAAGCAATACTACTTGATAGCTTGAAACATTTGTCTATCAGCAAAATATGTATGAAATTTTGAATATGGCATATGAAAAGCAACTTAAGGTTATCAAAGTATTATATACAAAAGAGCAAATTGTCCAAAATTGCCTGTACACATAATCATTATAAATACCATTAGCTTTAATCTTCAAATTTAATAATGATAATATAAAAATAAATTATTCTAAAATTTTTTCAGTAATTTTGATAGTTTTTCTTCTAAAATATTTGAAAATATAAAATTAACAAATTATGTGTTTAAACTACGATCTAACAACCTACGATGCACCTTACAAAATAGCAAAACTTCAAAACATTATACCTGTATTTTATACATCATTTGTTTTAGTTAAAATAATTAAAGAAATAATTTTATCTTTTTCATATCATTAATTCATTACAAAAACATTAAAAGATTATTTTAATTTTTTTTAAATATTAATTAATAAAATTAAACCTTTTTTGCATGCAACAAACAAAGTCATTCTTAACAGAGTATGAATTATTATTAAAAATACTATTTTATGAACATCTGAGAGTATAAAACACTTTTTAACCATATTAGAGAACAGATTATCATACAATATACGCAAATCAAAAGTCTAAAAATTTTATATAGTTTACTTAGGAAATAATTTTATAAGTTATGTAATTTGTAATTTAAGATAACAAACTTCTTGAAATCTCAATTATTGCTAGAAATTAATGTGACTGAATATAGATAAATATAGTATTATTTGAAACATATGTAAAAAGTTGAACACAACAGTTCAACAAGATTACCAATTTGGATAACTGATCTTGTATGGAAATTCATGTACAGTAGAGCATCGATTATCCTAATACTGATCAACCAAAACAATGGTTAACCAAAAGCAAATTCTAGTCAGCAAATTCAAATTTCCACTAGGGCTGTGGCATTGCAGCACTCTTCCCCTCCCTGCCAAACTGAACTGTAGGCCTAGTTTAATGTATTACAATATGTAAGGTATGTATTTGTAAGACATGTGATACAAATTATATACAGTACAGTTTTATTTTTAATATATTTTTGTAAATGATCAGTTATCTGAAAAATCAGTTATCTGAACAACCCCAGTCCCAAATGGTTTCAGATAATCGATGCTCTACTGTATATAGTATTTTCTACTGTGGTGGATATTGAAAGGAAAGCATAGACCATTTCTATGGAAAATTTCATCCTTTACAGCAATATTATAATTTACCAAATAAATTTAAGCTTCTAGCTCCTCAAAACACTGGATAAAATGTAATTTCTGTTTGCATTGTATTATTCCATGTAATAAGCCAAAAAACCACCAGATTACATTGGGCTACTTTTCCACAATTATATTTTAAATAACACACACCTGAGAAAAAACCTTTAACTGATGTGAAATATGATTATTAATTATACATATAATTAATATATTTTAACATATAATTAATTATATTTTAATTAATTACTAAATAATTTGTCACNCGAATACATAATTAGCAAAAAAAAGTTGAAATAAAGTGATTAAACAAAAATTATTACAAATATCGTAAATAACAGTTTACAAATGCATATATAGATATTTTTTGAAGGGGGAAAATGGTCTTCATTTCCCCCCTTCAAAAAATTTGAAATCGATCGAACACAGTGCTTGAATGCTCGTGTAAACGTGCGCCATCTATCGTAGGATAAATGCCAGAAATCTTCGCAGGAGTGTATTAAAAAACTTCCCAAAGCTTCATGGCAATCGTACTACACCAGAAACCTTCACGGGAGTATATTAAACAACTTCTCAAAGTTTCACAGCAATCGGATAAACGGTGTGGTAATGCATGAACACATACATTCATACATACATTCATTTTTATATATATAGATTACTTAAAACTGCACATTAACAGAAAATAGATGATAAAAATTAAATTTCAAAAATAATTTTGATGTCATTGAATACTGGCAGAAAGCAATACTACTTGATAGCTTGAAACATTTGTCTATCAGCAAAATATGTATGAAATTTTGAATATGGCATATGAAAAGCAACTTAAGGTTATCAAAGTATTATATACAAAAGAGCAAATTGTCCAAAATTGCCTGTACACATAATCATTATAAATACCATTAGCTTTAATCTTCAAATTTAATAATGATAATATAAAAATAAATTATTCTAAAATTTTTTCAGTAATTTTGATAGTTTTTCTTCTAAAATATTTGAAAATATAAAATTAACAAATTATGTGTTTAAACTACGATCTAACAACCTACGATGCACCTTACAAAATAGCAAAACTTCAAAACATTATACCTGTATTTTATACATCATTTGTTTTAGTTAAAATAATTAAAGAAATAATTTTATCTTTTTCATATCATTAATTCATTACAAAAACATTAAAAGATTATTTTAATTTTTTTTAAATATTAATTAATAAAATTAAACCTTTTTTGCATGCAACAAACAAAGTCATTCTTAACAGAGTATGAATTATTATTAAAAATACTATTTTATGAACATCTGAGAGTATAAAACACTTTTTAACCATATTAGAGAACAGATTATCATACAATATACGCAAATCAAAAGTCTAAAAATTTTATATAGTTTACTTAGGAAATAATTTTATAAGTTATGTAATTTGTAATTTAAGATAACAAACTTCTTGAAATCTCAATTATTGCTAGAAATTAATGTGACTGAATATAGATAAATATAGTATTATTTGAAACATATGTAAAAAGTTGAACACAACAGTTCAACAAGATTACCAATTTGGATAACTGATCTTGTATGGAAATTCATGTACAGTAGAGCATCGATTATCCTAATACTGATCAACCAAAACAATGGTTAACCAAAAGCAAATTCTAGTCAGCAAATTCAAATTTCCACTAGGGCTGTGGCATTGCAGCACTCTTCCCCTCCCTGCCAAACTGAACTGTAGGCCTAGTTTAATGTATTACAATATGTAAGGTATGTATTTGTAAGACATGTGATACAAATTATATACAGTACAGTTTTATTTTTAATATATTTTTGTAAATGATCAGTTATCTGAAAAATCAGTTATCTGAACAACCCCAGTCCCAAATGGTTTCAGATAATCGATGCTCTACTGTATATAGTATTTTCTACTGTGGTGGATATTGAAAGGAAAGCATAGACCATTTCTATGGAAAATTTCATCCTTTACAGCAATATTATAATTTACCAAATAAATTTAAGCTTCTAGCTCCTCAAAACACTGGATAAAATGTAATTTCTGTTTGCATTGTATTATTCCATGTAATAAGCCAAAAAACCACCAGATTACATTGGGCTACTTTTCCACAATTATATTTTAAATAACACACACCTGAGAAAAAACCTTTAACTGATGTGAAATATGATTATTAATTATACATATAATTAATATATTTTAACATATAATTAATTATATTTTAATTAATTACTAAATAATTTGTCACTAGGAGGAGGCATCAGGCTCCATCTCTCATTAAATTTAATAATTTTAATTAAATTAATATTTATTGAATAATCTAGAATATTCTGGAAGAAAAGAATCGGCTTGGAGCAGGACTCGAACCCACAACTCCTGTTTACCATGCGGATGCCAGTTACATTACCCGAGCCTCCAGTCTGATCTCCTCTTCCAGACATATTTATATATTTGTAATCCAGTGGTTTGGCTTTACAGATTTATCGGATTTCGTGATGTTTGTTTATTCCGTGTAATTTTTTTTTACCTAATTTATATTTGCATTATCAAAATTCTGTTATTCCTGTCTAAAATTTATAAATGGCTGATTCTCCATTGCAATATCTAATGACATACAGTATAAAACTCAGAAACTGTTTCAGCAATTCTGTAGAAAAACATTAAACGTTCCAAACCATCTCCAAACAGTTGAGTTTGATAGGCAGTGATTTCTGACTCTCTTCAACTTGAATGATCATTTTTAAGATATCACTTTCACATACAATCAGTGAGACAAAGCAGTTTACAATTATAATTTAAATGAACTAAATAAAGTCATTCTATAAAATAATGCTTGAACCAAAACCATTTTCAAATGACTTGGTTCTGGATTCATTTCTATCAAATAGCCATAAAGGAAATGTTAAAATTTTTGTTGTTTATTGTATCTTGTAAGTTGGCAATAATGGTCTTAATGTATGTGTAGAGTAGCTTGACAGTGCATACACAATGGGCTGTGTTGATGAAATAAATATAATTTGTTGTTTCTGACATAAGTAACCATTGAAAGGGTATTTTCAATATTAAAATTTTAGTTTATTGGAAAAACATGATAATATTGATAACAATTGACTTGAAGATATTTTTTTAATTAATTTAAAAATGTTGAATAATATACATTTAATAATACACGAAAACTGTTTCTTTTTCAACCTCTGATGGTCCATAAAACAAAGACGAATGTAAATAACAATGAATTTATTGTCAAAAGTTAGGTACAAGCATGATTACTTTCCAAAATAATCACTGTGAAGATTGAAGCATTTGTCTATTTGTGGATGAGCTATGAAATCCCCCCTTCATAGAATGTAGCCATCAATGACTTGAAATGGGCTGTAATGTTGTTTTAAAGATTGTTATTGGTCTCAAATCTCTGCTCTCCTATCCATGTTTTCAGTTCAGGAAAGAGTGGAAATTGCTTGGCACTAAATCAGAGCTATACACTCGGTGTTTAAAAAATTCCAAGCTGAGTGGAAGTCTTCACACACCTTTAATGTGTGAAGACTTCCACCTTTTTTATATTGTATGGCTTCTATTGCAACAAGGTTTGGCCACCTGAGATTCCTCAAACCAAAATATGTTAAATACAACACACATCCAACAAGCACATGACATGATTGATGCAAAAAAAACACATATAAAGAAAACTATCATCTATTTTGACAGGTATTTCAGTTATTAAAGGAACTGTTGAAAAATAATATGTTGGTATCATCATCATCATCATGTATCATAAGTTTATTTACACTTATTTATGAGAACCGTAAACTTATTTTCTGACTAAATTCTCTTACACACTGTATTAAGGGCCAAGAAATAAAAAAAATATTAATCAAATTTTACTGGAATAATTTTAAAACTAATTGTTTCTAAACAGTTTTTACAAGATTTTTGTCTCATTAAATGTATGTTTAGTCTTTGAATAAAAATAAAATTTCTTCAATAAAATATTCTTTGAATAAAAATACATTTAATTTCTAAAAACATTTAACAATGACATTTTTACTTTTTAATTATTAAAAATTTATCTTATAAAATAAAATAATTATTCTTGTTTGAAATTTCAAATTGAAATTATTTTCCTGATAATTACTGTTTTTAATAGTTTAAAAACCAATAAGATTATGTCTTATAATAGGATAAATAATTAACATTTAATATATAACAGAAGATATTAACCTTTTCAATTTCTCTCGGAATCTTCATAAATATATAAAATTTTTCCCTTCTTTCTGCATATCTCTGCTCATCATTTTCTAATAAATATCCTCTACGTAATTCTCCATAAACATAATCCAAGAGAGTATCTGTTAAAAGTATTAAATAGTAAATTAAAATCAATTGTACAAATAAAATTAATTTTAACATCATGTATTCTTTTTAAGCATATGTTTTGAGTATTAATGTTTTGAGTATGAAAATTTCTTATAGTTTCAAAGAAACTATAAGAAATTTTTTATAGTTTATAGAAAATTTCTAGAATATTTTTAGCAGAAAATAGAAAATTTTTATAGTTTATAGAATTTTCTATAAACTATAAAAAATTTTCTATAAAGAAAATTTCTATAAAGAAACTATAAGAAATTTTCAGTGATTTATTAAATAGTATCAGACCCCGCCACACACTGTTGTGGCTCAAAATGTATAACACTTTCCCCGTGGAGGGGGGAAATTATTCGAAAAATCCCTTTTTAGTGCACATTCTGTTGACTTACCCTATTAAAACGCAATCAAAAACACAAAACNTTAATTAAATCGGCACTGCACTACACCGGGATAGAATAATCAAAAAACAACGTACAATGAACCTGTTTCCGGTGTGCTTCTCTGTAAACGAAGTATTACTAGCACTTTCGAACTTTAAGTTCTTCCTCAGGTAACATGTCCAAGCGAACGCCATTCAAATTTGATTGAAAAAAAGAACATCATTACGAATTTTCGCTGATTTTAGAACCCCTTCGCTGGTTCTAAATTAACGTAACTTTTTGTCTACGAGCACCTGCCATGCAGTTGACAGGATGATCTCGTCTTTGTTGTTAATGCAATGTCTACGAGCACCTGCATGGCAGGTGCTCGTAGACAAAAAGTTACGTTAATTTAGAACCAGCGAAGGGGCGCATGCGTCAATGACGCCAGCGATACGTACGAGAAAATTCGTAATGATGTTCTTTTTTCAATCAAATTTGAATGGCGTTCGCTTGGACATGTTACCTGAGGAAGAACTTCAAGTTCGAAAGCGCTAGTAATACTTCGTTTACAGAGAAGCACACCGGAAACAGGTTCATTGTACGTTGTTTTTTGATTATTCTATCCCGGTGTAGTGCAGTGCCGATTTAATTAA